ACCTATTTTTTTATTTAGTGCATTATCAACACAAGATATGGTAGAAAAAGGTAGACTTTGTACGCACCCGTTGATTAAAGCTAACTGTCCATATAACAGACAGAATTTAATTTACGTATTCTCTGAAATAAGACAAAGAAAATATGCTATAATGTGTTATAATATAAAAATAAAATTATAATACTAGGTAATAACCCTGGTCAATTCACACAGCCATCTAGTCCCACGCTAAGATGAGATCGTATTATGGGTACTAGACGACTGATAGAAATATATAAATACATTTTTTTGTCAATAAATACATAATGTACATAGAAAACACCCAAACAATCATACTCATGAATACATATTTTCCGAGTTCCCATTCCTCGCACAATACAAACTACAATAGTTTGTATTGTGCGAGGAATGGAAACTCGGACCATAGGAAAAAAGGCGATATAATAACCGCTAGACCACCGACCCCAAATAAATATACGCAAAAAAGAAACAAAAGCGCATTGTGTGAATGAAATTAAATTAGGGGTATTTCGTTACATAAAGATTTTGGAAAAATAAAAACATTAATTGTGGACAATATATTAAAATTATAAATGCATCAAATGAATCATACGAGTATAGAAGAGAGAATATACACATTATTCTGATTAATATTTCATTGGTTCTATTTTAGATAAAAGATAGGTTATGGAAAATATTAGAATTATTTACACTATTATAAATATATAAAGTATCATATTTTATTTATTTATATAGGTGTACATACGAGTACAGGTAAAATATTAAACTAATTAGTGAAGAAACTTAAAATATGTCGTTTTTTACTTACTGTTATTTAGACCATCAGCTTACTTGCTATGCTAGTAACATAAATACCCAAGTAGATATAGATATAATAGTACATTACACTATAGTGTTAACAAATATCCTAAATTATTAAAAAATCTAAGATCTATCGATTATCACAGAATATAATAAATTTCTCCAGCCGATACCAGATCGCCTATACATATATATGGCCATATTCCTATAACAAAAGTAAAACGCAAATCAATTAGGGAGTCACAATCAATTAATAAAACACAGTTATATTAAAAAAATCAAACCTGCATCTATACATCTGTCTCTTGCATCACAATTCATCATGTCATTAACCACATGCTATCAAATGGTAGAATAATTTACACGGAATCAAAAAAATTGCCAAATGGCATTTTTAGTTTCCGTAAAAAACGAGAGTATGAGCACGAGCCACGTTTTTTTAATTTTTCTTTTTCTATCCCCACCTTCTGCATCCTGAGTACACGTTTTTTGACGTAACAATTGTTGATCAAATTAAGAAAAAAATTGCTGATCCTTCTTTACTTTGGATTTTTATGGATACGTCAGTAAAAGCGTCCAATTTAAAAAATATTTACCGTGTCGTCGTCATGTTTATTTGTATAGTAAACTCATATGATCTATATGAGACGCTTTAAACTAAGCCCCGATATATATAAAAAGTAAAATTCTTAGAATTTTACGTCACATATTTGTGCATTGACAAAATGTAGCCCGAATGTAAAGGACAAACCAGTTCAATGCCTAAAATTTTAATTATGTGATACTAATTAATCAGTTGTGGTCTTCTCATATAATGACACTATATATAGTAATCTTATTAATGTCATATTAAAAAAATAATATTACAAGTTTATTCGTTTAATCTAACATTACTAAATACCCGTGTCTAGGTCTACGTTATTCTGCCGTCGGCTAAAACCGCGGAAGTCGCCGCAACATGCCGCCTCTTCCTGTCTTTTTACCTTCCGTGCCAAATTGTTTTTGTGTTATTTTTTACGTTTTTTTACAGCAACAATTAAGATGATCCGAACGTATGGCTCGTGCCACAGTCAGCTGCACTTTTGCTTTCTTCTCGATTTCGCGGTGAGTTTATTAATTAGTAGGTACCACAGAAAGACTATTACTACCACTATTTATTCCATGTTAGTAGGTACTTGACAGTCCATTCGCAAATATCTCTCGTTTGACTACATAACTATTCTAATCTGTGACTACAGATGTTCGCTAACTAACTACTAGTTGACAGTAAAAAGAGCATTATTTTGCGTAAATCAAATACTAAAATAAAGTCTACATAACGGGACACTGCTATTTAAATATATGCTACTTATCTGCTTTCTCATTTGATAACGAGGTATCTTAGCTTAAAATGCAACAAAATGGTATGACTATATTTATGGAATAGATACTTATTTTCATTTTTATTTTGTAATTGTAACTTCAGTATAACAGCTAAATTAGAATGTATTCACGTCTATCCCAAATTTAGGAAAATTTAAGAACAATATTTAAACTATTGATTGAGATGTCAAAACGCCAAGAGGTAACGAACTGATTTTCACATACATATAATATCAGGTATATTAGTCAGGAGTCGCTGATTGTGTTTGTAGGTATGTTAGTTTCATATAATAATTCATAAATTACTTTTATAATGCATTTCATAAGCATTATATTATTTCACAGAATACGTAAATTAAATTCGGCCAAATGGCGTGGAACAGAATTAGTAAAAAACAGTGCGATCTCGTGCCAGATAATTAAGGCCTTTGAATCATTTTATTATATAAAAAAAGATTCGCCTTACCTGAGCTATATCAAAATTCTTGTTGCATACAGGATGTTTCGTTGAATTGATAAAAAACACATAGTATATTGTTATTATTATATGTAGCTCATATACGATATAGTTATTGATATGCACATAATAGATTCTCAATATTTCCATATTAGGTAAATGCCCAAGTCTAATCAAATAAATGTAGCATGTTTTTATAATCCTACATATTTTATATTAAGATATATTTTCATACAAATAAAGATGATATTTAAAGTCTTAAAAAATCTAATGTTACTTACCTATACGAATTAAATCTATAAAAAACATATTCTGCATTACAGAGATATGTGTAACAAATTCTCTAAATAGTATCTAATCTATACTCTAAATTATCTGTCTATCTCTTGCTTGTTGAAACGTAACCTAAGTTCTTTAGGTTTAGGAGATTCAAGAGATACCTATTATTTGTTTATTTCTCAACACGACTGACGTGAAAGTTGGTTTGCAAACTGGACTGCAAACAAACATTTTACAATTTTTACCAAGGATATCAAAAACTACTTTGATTAACGAAGATTAATTATTATAAAGAAGATAACTATATTATGTATATATCTTTGCAAACTTAAAAAAAATTGACAGATTTACGAAATACGTTGATTACCTGTTGATAGCTACGTCATTAGCGAGTTTCGTAGACCATATTCTACGCGGAATACAGCCAGACACCGCTATTCATAATATATGAACCAAAAATATTATGTATGTGATAAAAACATATGTATCTATGTCATCAAAGCATTATACACTCGGCTCATTGACCAAATATATTACACAATATATTTACACAAGTCATAAGTCTACCCTAAAAACTAAGATTCAATAATTGATATTAACTGCGTACGTTACGCGCCTATTTGTATAGAATTTAAAACACTAACAATTTAATATTTCATATTCAATGAAAAAAATAACAGTACTAAATTGAATCGGATTGAAATTTATATTGAAATTAGACTACTGAGTAAGCCTGTAGATCTGAATCGCATAAAAGATAGATAAAATAGCTATAATAGGTATCTCTATGGCAGGTTAACCTCCCATGTCTTAAAGATAGAAATATGTCCCCGCTGTATATCATATGTATTTCGTACCTACCTAATACGTCACATACGTGAGCCGAATCTATCGGATATGTGATAGGTAGGTGCATAAAAAACACCAACCCGAGCTTTTTTATCGCGGCCGCGGACCGAAATTCTAGTCAAAAAAATGTTTCGCAGATGTTGATTTTATAAATTTCTTGCACGTGTTTTATTTTTTTGACCCCGCGCGTTATACGGCCTAATATTGGTTACAAAATTAACTAAAAACAGTTCAATTAGAAATAAATTTTAGTTTTTGAAATTGGCGATGTAGACATAATGACATAGGTCTGACTTTTAGTATCATAAACAATTTTTAATGAGACTTGATCTCATAAGCATAGCATGATGTTTAAATTTAATTATGAGAAAAAATTGTTTATGGTCATTGGGTTTTAACTCTCAAAAATGGATCATAATGTACTCTGAAGAAAGAGCTTTTAGAAGTTCAACCTTCCAGTTTCTAATATTATAAAGTGAAAAATTGCTATCTACAGAAATCTATTTTAAAAATAAAAAAATATTTTATAAAAATATTTCAACGAAATTGTATTATGAATTTTAAACACAGATTGATATAGGTATCTAATATTTTAGATGCAGCAGATAATGATAAATGTATAGGTCTTTGTTAATTGAATTAATTAATAAACTTTGATCAATTTGAATTGCATTCGAGACTTTTTACTTTAGAATCATGTATTACTCAGACGTCTCTAGTAATATATATATGAGAATCTTTAAGAAATGTAAAGATTTTCATACATAAGGAACCGATATATGGAATTATTCATAAATGGTTAGAAATTTAGAATATTGTATATAGTTTTCAGTAATTTCAATATCCTATACAATACAGCATATGTAACAGTGACATCTGTTATATTATTCCGGTACTTCTCTCAACATACGGTTAGTATTTTAGTGCTTATTATACAGATGGCGCTGAACCGTACTAACGTATTATGCGTTTATAATATATAGACGACAGGGAGCGCTTCTTAGCTGGTTTTTAGATATTAAAATTTATATATATATTATTCTTAATGTCTGCAATACAAAACTCTGTACTTTACTTTACTTTAAATTCCTTCGGCTCCAAACATTACTCAGTGTAAAGATAGATAAACTTTTATTTGTTCTAAATTTCTATATCTATTCGTAATGATCTAGTTAGAATACAAATATTGTTAGAAATAAAATAAGTATAGTAGTATATTTATTATGTTACATATAGTTATTATATTCAAACTTCTTCATATTTTTTAATTTTCCAAAATCAGTTCAGATACTGATATAATAATTCTGTTATAGTATACACTTTATAATAACGTACATTATTACTTATGACAGATTATTATTGTACAATTCCACATATAAATCATTCATAGATTGTTGTCGTTGACAAGAAAATTGTTCCATTACACACACCTTTACTTGTCCGTTATATTTTGCAGTATTATATGATATCCCCATCCTTTTCACTTCCGCGATAAAATCAAATAAACACGCACACTGCCAGGGATTGTCGTTGAAATATATCTTCTTCAGTTTTCCCCCAGAATTTCTTAATTCCAAACAGAAATTATCGGTCAAATAAGAGAATTTGTTGTCAGATAAATTGAGATTCTTCAACGGCGCTCCTCTGAAAGCATTAACTGGTACGAATTCAATTAAATTATGAGACAAATCCAAATTAGTTAACTCTGGCAAATCTCGAAACAAATTGTCAGGAATAGAATTCAACTTGTTATTCCTTAAGATAATATTTTTTATTTTTTTCAATGGGACAAAAATATTTCCAGCTATACTGTCAATTTTATTGTCTGCCATATTTAATATTTCTAAACTGTCTAAATTCACAAACGCAGTTGAGTTCTCGAGTTTACTTAGTTGATTTGTAGATATAATCAATTGCTTCATTGTTCTCAGGTTGGTTTTGAGTGCAAAATTCGGCAAGTGTACTAGAAAACATCTATCTAAATTTAAAACATTAACTTCTTGGAATGTATTCAGCAATAAATCTGAAGTGTCACTCATATCATTTCTAGAAAAATCGATAACTTGAATGTGTTTCAAGGCATCGAAAATATAAGGACTCAGTTGTTTCCCTCTCAACAAATTACTTGAGAGATCCAAGTGTTTCAACTTTTTCAATGGATCAAATAATCCTTGCTCTAGTATATATATTTTGTTTCCTCGTAAGTCCAATAGTTCTATATTTAGATTGTGATCGAAAACTCCTAACGGTAGAACAGTTATTAAATTATATGATAGATTTAAGGAAGTCAATTGCGGTGCTCCATTAAAAACTCCAATTTCAAGATTTGATATTGAATTTACCGACAAATCAAGATATTCCAGCCAGGGTAACGAGTGAAATGAATCATTGTTTATATCTTTAATTCGACATCCTTTTAGAACAATTCTTGTAGTTCTATTATTGTCGGATACTAGACCTCTTTCTAAAACATAGTCTGATGATTCTGCAAAACAAATCACGTCGTTTTGAAAATCCCCCTGTACTGTACATTTCGGTTTTGCTTGAACGCTAGCAAATGTCACTAATATGAAAATCAATCCCCACAGCCTTGGCGCCATAATTTAGCCTGAAAGAGATACGTAGAGCAGTAATTACATACGACTTATAATGTGACAAAAATAAAAAGTAATTCAATTGAGTTTCTTGCCAGTTCTTCTCAATTGGATCTATATACCGAACTGGACGGTAGGGAAAAAAATAAAATTATAATGTAAAAATTTGACGTTCATAAGCGGCTAAAATTTCTTACATGAATAAATGATTTTTGAATTTGAACTGAAACCCAATATAAAGATTACTCGATGGATTTATATTGTTTTGTTTAATTCCGCTACAACAAACAAAATAATATAAATCCATCGAGTAGTGAAATAGACTTCCGCAAAATAACACCTAATTCAATTAAGTATATACCATTACAATTAATTTAACAAAAGGAAGGTTTTTTTACACGGAATAGCAACAAATTGACCAAACCAAAATTTTAAGATGATCGCCATTACCTATAGTAAGTATATTATTATAGATATCCACGATATCTACCGTACTAAAGTGTTGTATATACGTACCACCCAGCAATATACCTTCAGCTATGTTTTTTTTAAATTGATTGTACTGGAATCGTGCGTTTGCCTGTGCTAACAGTTTACACTGGCGAAGCACCAGTGGAGGATGATAGAATGAGCATAAGGTTAGGTCAGTTAGCACATTGTGACAGATACCATGTTTTCATTATAATGGTTTCCAGGGAGAATTACGTGGAGGTAAAGCTGATATGGTACATTGCTAGCAATGGTGTCATCAGTCCACATTACTGACAATCCCCTTTCTTGAATTACGTAATTCAATTTCATCATACTATAATAGATTATAATATTTTTTTTAATAATAGAACAGATAAGATAAATCTACTACATACCAAGTACTACCTGTGTTCCGTAATGACAAAACCGAGGAATAACAACTTCACCTATTTTATAGTAATGTTAAAATTATAATAATTAGAATAATTCAGAAAGAGCGGGACTCTTCAGTCAGACATGGGTAAATATATAATTAGGTAGGTACAACTCATAAATAAGGAAAATGTCATAGTACCTATACTGTAGGACTTCTTGACAATAAAACAATGGATAAATTTGTCACAATTATTTAATATATTTGTAATAGTTCATAAAGTTCTGTAAGAGATTGCTTTTGTTAACATTTTTATATTAAATACTTTTTTTATTTCTTATTATTATTATTGTTGTTGTCATTATATATTTATTGTCATTTACAGAGCTTTCGCAGGTTTTATTATTATAATAATAATCTCAGGACAATTCAAATCTAGACCCAAGTTAAGCTAGCTAAAGCTTGTGTTATGGGTATAAAGAAAGAATGTGGAGAAAGAAAGAAAGAATGGGTATGTAGAAATACATATATAGATATTTTTTTTTCGTAAATACATACATATATACATAGTAAACACCCAGACCGACGCAAACAATCATACTCATGAATACAAATGTTTGTACCGTGAGAGGAATCGAACCCGCGACCATCGGACGTAAAGTGGTGTGCTAGACCGCTATACCACCGAGGTCGTCAAATTGTAATGATTATTAATTTGACCTTAGGTCATACAATATTGTACTCGTATATTAGTCATAATCAATATTGCAGAAATATTTTATATTATTTTATGAATATAGTAAAAGTCAGTTATCAAAAAATATTAAGCTCTCTGACTCATTCTAATGAATTATATAAGATAATTAATTATATAAATTTTAATTAATCTGTTCATATAATATATTGAGTAGTACAATCTTAGATTCCATAATTAAAATTTTATAATCTACATTATTTAAAATGAAACTTTACTTTTTCATAATGTTGAGGAAAACTCTGCTGCTTACCTTGGTCAACGGTGTTTAATTATAGAATTTTGAATCTCAGTAACTTCACACATGCACTAACAAATATTTCTCTATACATGAAAATACTATTTAAATTAAAAATAATTGAAAACCAAACGTGCTGTAGAGCCGCGTTGTACAACTTCAATGGAGAGGATAAATATTTAATTTTAATTGGGTTTACTCGTGTCTTGCTCTTGATATTACAGAAACCGGTGCGTAGGTACTGTTGGAAAAGATCCTATATGAATTCAACGCGCAATGATCGTAACTCCCATGTAATTGCGTACTCGAAAGCAATTTTGATATGTAAATATACCTAATAGACTATAACGGTATCATCTAGTCAACTAGTAAGTCTAAATAAAAGTAAAAGTTCAGTAAATTTACCATTGAAATTATGTACATAATATATCAATATTTGTTATTACATGTTAATTAATATACAAAATTTTTAATAATAATAATCAAGAATAATTCACACAGCGCCATCTATTCCTAAACTAAGAAGAACTTGTACTATGATAACTAAGCAATATAAATGCTAAAATAGATGTTCTTTTTTATAAATAAATACATTGTATACATAGAAAACAAACAAACCAATACAAAACAGTCGTGTTCATTAATACAAATGTCTTTATCCTGCAATGAATCGAACCTGCACACATTGGAAGTAATTTGTACTAAACTGCTAAACTACCGAAGCCGCTAGAACTAATAGAGCAAGATATCAGGCCGCCAGACGTCACTTATTTACTGATGTATAAAATGTGACTACTATGATCATATGCATATTGGTGAGATGCCCATGCTCCTTGCGTACATGTTCCAGGAATCAGGTAATGAAGTAGGTATTTAAATACGCTACTATCTTCACTTATTTTTTAACAGCTGATTCTTAGATGTATGATGAATGATATCATTAAAAATCAGGCAACAATGCTAACTATTCATCCCCGAATACCATCATTCCGCTAACAATTTTATCTTTTTTAACGTGTATTAGAAATCAAATTATAGATATATATATTTTTATAACTTATTATTTTAGTGTTAGAATTTTGGTTGGGATCTGATATTTACGCAATTCATTTCTCTTCTATATACCTTCAGGAACTAACAAAATATATTTCATAATCATTCTAATTAAGAACTTCTATCTATAATCTACCAAAGGCTAATAGAGTGTCGCCAGGAGTTTTACTTTTATCACAGATAACATAATATTACATACTTTTATGTAAATTTGCGATTTCCATATCACTAAAAAATAAATAGAAAAATAAGAGAATTAAAGATTATTAAAGATTATTAGAGTTTAAAGATTATTAGAATTAAAATAAATAGACTGCTTCACAGTCGGCAATTTGGTTTCACGGCCGGTAAATCAACTACTGACGCTGGTGTAGCTTTAATGAAACACATTTTTGACTGTTGGGAGAGGTCACAGGATGCTATCGGTGTATTCTGTGACCTCTCAAAAGCATTTGATTGCGTTGATCATGAAACACTCTTACTCAAATTAGAATATTATATATTAGATATGAAGCACTATGCATGATGAAATCCTATCTAAATAATAGAATGCAAGTTGTTGAAATAAATGGTGTAAAGTCTGAGGGAACTAGTATTAAAATGGGTGTTCCTCAGGGCTCTATTCTAGGTCCTTTCTTATTTTTATACATAAACGATCTTCCTTATATGGTAGAAAAGATAGCTGACATAGTTCTGTTTGCTGATGATACTTCATTAGTATTCAAAGTCAATCGACATATTGATGATAATCAAACGGTTCTCTCTTATGTTTTAAAATGGTTTACGGATATATATATTTCGTATTGGACAATAAATCTATTAATTTCGTTGACGATACTGTATTTCTAGGTATCACATTAGATTCCAAGTTGCAATGGGGTGCTCATATTACTAAATTTCGACTTAGTTCTGCCGCTTACGCGGTAAGAAGAATTAGACAATTAACAGACGTGGCAACGGCTAAACTTGTCTATTTTAGCTATTTCCATAGCATTATGCCGTATGGTATTTTGTTATGGGTCAGCTGATATAAATACAATATTTACTTTACAAAAGAGGGCCATTCGCTCCATTTATGGTATGGGTTCCAGGGAGTCATTGCGAGAGTGTTTTAAGGAATCAAATAATAATACATATATATCATCTATGCCAGAAGGAATATAGACAGTTTCAAAAGAGTTAATTGCACTAATAAAAGCTTACGTAACAATAACAAACTGATTTTACCTAAATGGCTAAAGTTAGTAATTCGTTTTATGGCAATTGCGTAAGGTTTTACAATAAAATACCAGAGTCTGTTATAAATCTGCCAGAAAAAAGATTTAAATGTCAAATAAAACAGTTCCTTTGCAAAAAAGCTTACTATAAAATTGAAGAATTCGTTAACGATAATAATGTTTTTATAGAAAAACTTTAAATCTATAGCACTGACAATATTATCTGATTACATTAATAATGAGTGCGTAGCGACTTCTATGTTGATTATCGCATGCCTCTTACTTGTTATACTGTAATTATTTATATAAAAAAAAACATCTATTAAAAAGAGCAACACACAAGTTTCTTGCTCATTCTTCTTGTGATGAATGAGTGGTAGAATCAAAATATGACTATTCAAAAGTGCTTGTAATGAGTTTATTTGAATAAAGATTATTTCTATTTCTATTACTACTTACATTTACGTATACTTATTTAATTTTAACAATTGAGACTAATAAATGGAGACACAATGATATCTTTATGCTCTACTTTAATTGTTTTACTACGCAGTTATTTACCAGTTAAAATTGGTTCAATGGTCTAAGTTTAATATATTTCAAGATATTGGTATGCAACACTTGACTTGACAAAATACCTTAGCTCTTCCCACATACACCTACATAATAATATTAACATTTAATGGCATGTTTAACCTTGACCAATAAACTAAATATTGACATAAACAAAGTGAGGATTAGAACTCATTATAAGAATATTTGAATATTAGAAATCAATTTGACTTTGAATCAATACAAAAAATTCATTTCGTTATGTCCACGAGTTGCACAAACAAATGGTCGAAGTTGTAATTAATAGTGACAATAATAAATGAAACTACTAATAAAAATAAAAATTTATTCTATAAATAGGAAATATTTAATCTTGCACGAAATATACATATGAAAAATATAATGAGTACCTACTGGATATCACAGCAATAATTCCCTGGTCTTCAAATGTTTAATCTTAGATATAAAAAACCAGCCAACATATTAAAAAAAACGATTATCTGTCAAATAATTTTGTACCAGTCCACGATGTGTCCAGTATGGTAGCCATTAATAATTAAATTGACAAACTTCTTTCGTTTTGCACTAATTCAAAAGATTGGTTATATATTATTGTCATTATTTTCTAATTCAGATTCGGTCTCTCTGATTGCATTACTATCGTTTTCTTTTGTCGTATGAGAATTAGAAACAGTTTCTTCTGACGTATTAAAATCGACGGGACAGTCATTGAGATCCACGTTTGTACTGCTTTTTTCCATTTTCTTTACAATATTTCTAGAAATATCGAGTTCACTCTTTAGCTGTTGTATTGATTGAATTACTTCGTTTTGAAAATTCATATTTATTTTGTATAATTGTTCGGAATGTTCCTTCTCTCTTCTTAGTTCATTTTTTAAATGTGTATCTTTAAATTTTTCATATTCAGTCAGTATTCTAACTTTAGACTCGTACGTATGCTGAACCATAGATACTAAAGTAAAAAGCTTGTCTATCACTTTTTGTTTGACTTCTTTTGTGATATTGGGATCTGATTCTAAATCAGATTTAGCATCTAATGCTAAATCATTCGCTGACGACGGAAAACCAAGCAATTTAGCGCCATTGGATCCATTAGTAGATTTGGGTTGTGACGCAACATTTTCTGTTTTTGGTATGTTTTTATTTGTAGTCTTACCAGTAAAGGCGCCATGCGTCACTACCTCAGTAAAGACTCCTGAACTAGGTTTATTCGCTTGATACTCAGCTGTCTTTTTATTTACTTTCTGTAGTAATTCACTTTGCTTTTCCTTCTGTTTTTCAATGTTTACTTTCGTCAGTACTTCTTCATGTTTAACTGCCTTCGGTTCTTCTGATGTTTCATTGGTTTTACTTTGAAAAGGACTCCCTGTTCTTTTACTAAAATTTGTTACCGTTAATTTAGACATTTCCTGTAACTTAACGTCACTAACTTATAAGGTTATGAAATAAAAAGTGTACCAAATTTTGTATAGCCACTGTCAAACGCAACTGTCCACTCACAGCAGAGACATTTGCTGAACTAATATGAGTCCAATATCAAAATATTGAATGGTCGTCCTCTGAATGCCAAGTGTAGGTTTCGCTCCTTAGTTTTGGTTCGTCAACGCTTCCTAGGCGTGCTAATGAATTAATTATGAGTGAGTAGCAATGGTCCGCGTGGGCACGAATGCAGTTTGCATTGAGTTATGACGATTGACAGGTGGAGAATACATTACAATGATGAAACTGTATACTTACTACTTAAACAAATTAATTTCTTCCTTAAGCATCTTCGGTGATCATATACTGTTTTATAATTGTAACTTAAAAACAATCTTGTAAGTTTCATGACGTATTGTTGTGTTGTATATTAAACAAGTGTCTAAGGATTGCAATTTTGATATTAATTCACGAAATCTTCGGAATAATTTTGATACGATTTCTTTTTATTTCGCACTACTTTATACGTTGCTCTGGAATATATTGCATGCACTTAAGGTTGTTTTAAAGTTAAAACAAAGATAAAACAGATCCCATGCGCTGTAATTTCGTAAATGTCTATACATTCATCAGATAAGGCACTATTATTTTAAAGACTACCTAATTTTGGAAGGACTATTGGCTCTACTAATCAACTTCAATTAATTTAAAATTATATTCGGTTCAGTCCATTATATAAATATAATGTTCAATTAAAAATAATAGAATAGAATACTATTTTTCAATAACTATTATATTATTTCAAGACAACTCACAAACCAATATCTAGTCCCAAGCTAAGTAGAGCTTTTACTATAGGTAATAAGACAACTGATAGAAATACTAACTTTATTTTATTTTGTAATTATATACATAATATACTTTGAAAATACCCAGACTGGTACAAACAATCATACTCAGACTTACATTAGCCGTAAGACGTTGTGCTAAACAGCTAAAACCCAGTTGAGATTTTGGAATTATCATTGAAGGCCAACAAAATGCCATCTCTTCTTATTTTCAGTATATCACAAGCAAACGGTTCCTTAATAATCGAAAATTTAGAACTTCAATACAAGTTATTTTCTACAAAATTATATCGAAATAAGTTTATAGAACGGATAGAAACAGTACTAGAGATACAGATGTTTTTCTCATGTAGAAAACCATACCTGAATAAAGTTATCACCCTTTCTTTAGAGGCCAGTTAAAATTCCGGGTGTGCCCTACTTGTCTTATAGATATAATAAAAATTTGAAATTATTCACTCCATTAATCACTTTCACCTATGGCGGAACTATACCGCCAGAAATGGTCATCTCATTTGTATTCTATGCGTTTACATGAGCCCGTGCAGGATCAATAATAATGGAATATAGACCGTTATCTATCAAAAACTATTTGTGTTACTTTGTACTAGATACTTATAATTTTATTAATTAATACGTTTTGTATATCGAAACTGCTTATATTTATTATATGAAATAGCTATCCCGGCAAACGATGTTTTACTATATAAATTATGCTATTATAAAATAGAGGTTGATGGTAGTAGAGTAAAAATTTAGGGTTGAATACATTTTTAATGCCTAATCATAAAAAGAATAATGTGAACCTATGTGATATTAATTTTGATAAATGTTTTGGTGTGTGCCGCCCTTAACACTTAGGATATAAAATACATAACCTATTCTCAAACCTACTTAGTATACACATAACATTTCATTAAAATCAGTTCAGGATTACATCGCTGACAAACAACGAGACACAATATTTTTATATATTAAGATAAATAACTACCTAAAATTGAAGAAGCTTTAAGTTTCATAAAACACCTTTAGTAAAAAAGATTAAATATTATTATAAAGAAAATAAATTGGTTCCATAACTAATTTATTTTCTTTTTAATAATAATACTCTTTTATAGATAGGCGATAGGCAAACAAACTTAATATTACACTCATCCTATCATCTTTCACTGAATATTTTTGAATCTATCTTTATTTATCTGTATATCCTTTAAAAAATGCAAATTTCTCAAAATGGTTGGTGATTCCGGATATTAGTTTCATAACTAAATCAACTGTTACTCTACATAATTAGTATAAGATATAATCCGATATCATAATTGTATGATATTGACTAGAATAGCATTCATAAGTAGGTGTAAAATAATTTGCAATATTTTCATAAATACGCAATCTACCTATTTTCATTAAAAAATCACCCTGCAATATTCATTATCATATAATGTTAGATATCATGTTTTATTAGGTTTCATCATAGAAAACTATTATGTCTATAAACAAATATAATAACTAATAATTATTATGACATATATATTAAAATAATCAAAGCTGATGAGGAATTTGATGAAGGTATCGCAAACATACACGGACAAAAAAATATTGAAAGTTCTTTCTTTCCGAAGTCGAAATAAGTTGTTTTATGGTAATTTATAAATATTAAACAAATAAGTTTTCAATCATTCATTACTCATATGATTTTCAATAAATAGCTATATTTATTACCAAAACAACATATTTTCTATTTTCTTGATCTTTATCATTGATCATTATCTCCAGTGTGACAAGTTCAATGATAGCACCGTGATACCTATTATGTATGCACGCGGTGAATACAATGCGCCTGCTCTTCCATATCAAACACCTTTAATACTCCACTCTCGTACCATCCCTTTCACACTTTCCACTTACTACATTCACCAGAGAGGGATAGTTGAGTCAAATCATGCTTCCTCGAATCAGGGTACGGTGTCACAAACAACAGAAAAGGCGCTCAGCACTCACTAATTCCAAAATGTCCTGTATGTAACAAATGTGTTTGAAGTTAAGTCCTTCTTGTCACGCAATCACAAAGAGGATTCGTATCAAATAGCTTTCCCTTACACTTAGTTCCTATCGAAACCATAATGGCTTAACTCCACCGCTATTTCATATAACGAAAGACGATGCGTACCGGAACTGCAGAATACGTGCTGAATTTGAAATAGCGGTATAAAAACCGACGAGTCCTTGTCGAAATCATCAGAAATTATCTAGCCTTCATACAGTGAACAAATAGTAGGATCAGTAAAAATGGTGACCAGTAAAGTGATGTGCTTGGTAGCCCTCGCCTTATTCGGAAGTGTAGTGGCTCAGCCTGCAAAACATGAATTCTGGAAAGGAACTCCCATGGATGGCATGGTTGAGGAGATGAGGTCAGGCTGCGTAGAAGGATCTGACCCAGCCGCCTGCATCAAGTACAAGGTTATGTCGTTACTGGACACCATTTTTAAGAAGGATACTTTCCAGGTAATACTTTAGCTCCTTTCGATATGAAACAAAGAACAGTCGTTTAACCAAAGATTTTTATATATATTTTTCTGTTCAGATCTCAGAAGCTGTTGAAGTGACGAAAAATGGAGCCGCCAATGAGGTCACCGGCCGTTCTGCTGGCGACTTCTTCGACAGCATCGAGAACTTCATCCAGTCCCACGACGTCTCTTTCCAGTTACCTCTAGCTGACACTAAAATCACTGTAAGCCCCAGAAACCTGGACCAGGACGAGTTGAACTTGAATATCAAATTCAACAAAGATGGTGCCCGTTCCGTAGGAGAGGCTCGTAAAGCTAAGCTAAAGAAGATCATCGTGCCAATTCTTGTATTCGTGCTTCTGAAGGCGATGACCCTTATCCCTCTGGCTATTGGTGTCCTTGGATTGAAGGCCTGGAACGCTCTGCAGCTGTCCTTCTTCTCTTTTGTGGTGTCCGTCGCACTGGCCATCTTCCAACTTTGCAAGAAGGTTAGTTGAATTTCAAACAAATATATATGTGTGTGTTTTAAATAATAAACAAGAAGACTTACAGCACTAGTCTGCACCGTTTTTGTATATGTGTAAGTGCACAATTTCACTCTTTTTAACAGAAAATAATACTATAGTACCAATAACTTTCAAGATTATTGTGAACTAACAAACTTCCGCAACCCTTCATCCTATATGTCTAACATTTTAGTTTACCCAGATTGCGGCCGACAACTCCCACCCTCAGATCGCAGCTCACGGCCCGTGGGACGCCGCTTTCGCCGCCACCCGCCGTAGGAGAGACGCCGAACCCCAGGAACTTGGTCAAGAGATCGCTCAAGAACTCGCTTACAACGCCTACCAATAAATCATAACTATACTCCGCTCAACGACTATGAACCCGAACCGTTCGAAATCACTAGTATTCTAAATTTAGAAATGAATTTGGAATGGTAGTTTCACGATCGGAAATAGACCAAAAACTATTAGTTTCACAACGAAACTATGAACGTGTAAATACTATGTACCTAATGCAACTTATTTATTAAAAGAAAATGTGCAAGTGAGACTGTGTGATTGTGATGAGTGAATGTTGTTATTTATTTTATGTTATTAATAAATAAATTGATTGTATTTTGATATTTTATTACACCTTGTCCTCAACTTACTACCTATTTAAACATGTTAATAAAACATTTAATGTATTGTCATTAGTTCTTTACATGTTATACTATACATAGCATAGGGTAGTTAGGAATTTTAAACATATGTATTGTATATAGAACACTAAATTCCATACTGTAGACATGAACATTATGTAATAAAAATATATTTTAAACAGCATGTATATGATAGTACTCTACTTTCAACATTTAATACCATTTTTAAATATATATGCATATATATATTTTAATTTCATTTTTGTTTATATATTATACCTTTACGTAAAATCGTTTGTCCTGACTGATTCATCGAAGCACAGCTTAAATAATACAGCAGTTAGAAGCTTGAAATTAGGCCAGTTGATGCCTTTTATGTTAAAAACTTTTAGTAAGATTGTTTCGAAATCCCGCCCCTAAAGGATTGAAATAAATAAACAAAACAACGGTTTTTTTTGTTTCAACAATTATATCATATTTATAATAATAAATAATGAATTAAGATCTCACAGTTAGATGAAAAATGTAACAAGCTATAATTATTAGTTTATATTTAAAAGTAAAGGAAACGTATAAAATAAGAGACTCAAAACTGATTCACGTAATTATGCTTAGTACATAAGAAAGAAAATGCGAATGGTCGTAGCATTTAATGTGACTAATACTTACTCGACGTCGCCGTCGGCCGGCCCATTGGCTTTCAAGTCAAGCATTTAACTTTCTAACTGTAGCTCCTAACTCTGTCAAATAATTGGAAAACCACAACTATAGCTCCAGTTTTCCGACTTGAATATTGCGGGATAGTAAATAATTACTAGATAATAGTTTACCCATTCTTTTACATGCTTTTATTATATAAACGACAATAAGAAGAGTAAAAATTGCCGCATAGTAAATATGTAATTGCTAGATAATAGTGTACCCATTATTTGACATATTATATATATGTAGCAAGAAGAGTAACACCGTAGGTTTTAGTGAATAAAGTTACCATTGTATTTACTAGTTACCCTGAAACGAGTGTGTACCTTAGTGCGGAAAATTGGAAGACGGAAAACCATTCCCGTCTGTCCACCGTAGCATCATCAAAAATAAAATATTTTGATACAGAAAATGCTAAAAATGATACGACCTAGCAAGGCCGTATCTTTTTTAGCATTTTCTGTATTTATCTCTGACTATTACAGAATCAAACATGTGTCTTTACAAAAATTACTATTGTACATATATGTTCAGAACGTAAGTATTTTAAAAATAAATTCATGGTAGTACTTATATAATATATATACATATTTATATATAAAATATGTCTATACAATGTATAAATAAAAGATACAATTAGGTACAACTTTCATCCACGTGCAACGTCCAACGTCCAACCACGTGCTACAACTAGGGAAAATAAACAAACAAATTCAGCCCTACAAAAGCTTATTTGTTAGTCTTTACAGCCGGTTTGTGTTCAACAGGAATTCTTTAAAAAATTAATCCTTACTAAATAAAAGAAATCGTTCCAGTCATAGGTTGCGCTGTTGTAACTATTTGAGTTATACATCAATCTGTTAAAACAAAATATTTAGCCACCCCCACCCTCACCTTATACTTATTTCTTATTGGCTTATAAGATGTCAAGAGGGATATTATAAAAAACATAAAAGTAAGATTTTTATAATAACCCAAATAGTTTCAACAGCGCAACATAGGACTTTGGAACGATTTCTTTTATTTAGGAAAGGGTTTATAAGTAAGATCGTCAGGTCACTAAACCATCGCCTGAAAACTCGGATTTAAAATATCACTTTCATTCATCAGAATATACGTTCATTCGTATAGTCGTTTTTCATTATGGTTCTTTTTTCATTTATATATGGCACGGATATTATAATAAAGCTTATAATAATTAAATCTAAATAAATATTCTTATTAGTAACTAATACATATACAAGGGGACCATAACCTAGTGTGAGTTCTCATTATGATTCAAAGAGTGCGGTCAGGATGCAGGTGTTGGTTGGCATTCCTTCTTTACCCTGCTGACCCACAATTCATACATTAGCACAGATTCGAACCCATAGCGATCGATTATATGGTGCTTATAGAAAGAAAAGTGCTACTGTACACCATAACGGCCACATAAAGTACTCACACAGTAAAAATGGCGAACAATTTAGGCGACAATATGAATAAAATCGTAAACATTATATAAATTAGTGTCACAAATATTTATTTATTAAAAAAAATAATATCATATTGTATATAAACAATAGCTCTTAAATAATATTACAAAGATATAAGTCTCGTATTAACGTACCTAAATGTCACAATTCCATATACGTATATATTTATATCACAGAAAAGACAATATATGATATATGTATATATTGTATTTAATAATTATATTTATAAATGTAAACAACTATATTTTTTTTATTAAAATGTCTTTGAATTAGTTTTGTGTTTGTTATTGTATTTTTGCCTTTGTTTTTTCAGCAGCACATTAACAATACATTAATGAAATTGACAAAAATATCACCTCAGCATAGTTAAACCCACCCCAGTTAAAATTTAAATTAAAAAAATGTTTAGATATAGGCACCCATATAGACTCGTTAACATATATCCAAAGAATTCAAATTAGATAATATTATGACTAAATATATCTATAGTGTTTTCCGAACTAATAGTATTTGAAATTAACAATTAGACTAATTAAATGGACCGGAATTCTTAACAATAGTCATACTCTGAATTTCGACTATGACTGCTCTGCAATTTCAGTCACGACCGAATACGGTGTGTTACGAGTACATAAAGTTATGTAACTAGTGTAATTGTTGTTGTTTCTATTCAAAATACAATATTTTTATTTTACTCACATCGATCCTCCCCCCAATTCAAACGGGGATCGAAATTGTGACAGGCTGAGCCGAGTTACGAGCCCTTAGCGGTGCCCTCAGATTATTGTCGTATCGGAGTTGGCCTTCAGCCGCTCTATAAGTCCTTCCACGGGTTTGGAGTGCCGTCTAAACTCGTCCCTTATCGTCCGGTGAAGCTGTAAAGGCCAGCTGCGGTCAATAGCATTAGAGTAGTCCGAAAAAAATCAGATGAGTCCGAAAGAAGTCTCGGACTCATCTGATCTCATCTCGTCTCATTCATACCCTATACTTTTTTAATTGTAAACCGATTGGAATAAATAATCTTAAGCAATACATTAGTAAAAATAGTATACACATAGTGCAACAAAAATATTAAAAATTATTTAATGGGTAAATAAATTTTAATATTTTTAATTATTTATTAATTTTTAATTCAATAAAGTTCCCCAATAATAGATTTCCTATTATGCGCATCTTTCATGAACAAATAGTGATGAGTTATATTTTTATAAAATGAATAGATATGAGGTTAATAAATATATAGTAAACTGCATACAATATTTCATTGATACATTCTATAGGCCCACTCGCCTACGCTAATGGTATACCATGGTGAAGGATGAACGTCATGAAGTATAGCATTCATTAGATTCACTAGAAATTATCCAGAAACCATTGGAAGATTTTTCGCGTTCGTACTATGAAAGCACCTAATGCAGGTTGCAGAAGCTGATCCCTACTAGGCTTCCTTTAAATTTCAGCTCGTGCTAACTTACTTTAAGAACTCACTTTATACCGCCATAACATATCTCACAACTCAGCGCAAAACTCAAGACTGGTCAGCCACTTTTTTGTGGAATACAATTAATGACACTAAATATGTCATATGTCATGTGCATGCGCAAAAGAAAAGATTTTAAATTATATGAGCCGACTTTTTTTATTTGTTTACGAACAAAACGAAAAACAAGGAAACAATAATTCTGAAAATAATAAATGCCGCAAACTTTGTCAAATTGGAGAAAATAATAACAATTATTTTTAAAAAAATTACTGATATTACTGGCTGGAATACTGGCTAATCTTCATATTCCAAAGTAGACTAAAGGTATTATATTTTTAAATTTGTTCTTCTCACCGATGAAATAATTTTATGTATCTGTTTCTATTTAATACTCGTATCTCGTATACTCGTATCGTATTTTAAATTCAACTTTTATTTTATGGAGTGAAATTGCATGTAGTACTTAATTATAAAAAAAAAATTGAGAAACTGTATTCGTCTTTATTTGAGACGCCGTAGAATGTAAAAAAATATATATAAAAAAACTATTATAAATCGCTGCTCTTTGTTCGTTCTAATTTCAAATTGAATTTATTTGCGATTGTCAATTAATAAAATAACAAATAGTGTATTATAAAAAAACTCAAGCATTCAGCGAGCAATGCCGCCCTGCCATATTGTTAAATGTATGCCATATTGTTATTTTTTTTATTTAAGTCAGATATTATACATGTAATTCATACAAAATATACAAATTACAAGTATAAGTGGGATCTGACACTCGAAGTCGTCGAACGGAAGTGAAACAGCAATTTCACAATCCGGACATGGCGGCAAAAATGCAAATGGTTGTCCGTGAAATGCATACGAGATGCCGCACAACCCTTATTGCATAATGAAGATTGGGTAAGTAGTCTAAGTAGACACATGCACGCGAGTTTTTTGACAAATAACATCAATTTCACTTTCAGTTTGCTTCAGAAGCAAGTAATAATGTTATATAACGCAACACTCGCAATTGAATTATCAAATATTACGTTAGGGAGGCGAAGTTTGTTAATAGGGAAGACTAGTAGCTCTATTTCAAGGAATGTAGCATATCACATCGGCCTCCACGCGATTTGGAAACAATCGTCGTAAATAACAGGTGAATTCGCCCCGATTAACTAACTTCAAACCAACTTTATTATGCTCCACTGGTACCTCACCAAGTCGTACTATACAGGAATTTCCATATTCATTAATTAAACAATATACCTTTTGCAATTTAGTCTTCCTTAGTTATCAAGATAGACTGTACTAATTCGTCTGCGTAGTACATAAAAAAAATGTAGAGTGGAAAACTCAAGATGGAAATAAGTTTCTGTAATGTATTTTATTCAAGTAAAATTACTTATAATCAATAATATTAGTGACAAGATAATTGAACGTGCCAATATTGTTACTAGGACAAAGTAATAAAATATTTATACATGACTATTCTACGTTCTAAGTTCAGGACCGCCTCTAATTATAAACTTTTATAAATAAAATTATTAATTATGTACTAAATATGTAAATAAATAATAAAAAAATATTTACTCATATTTTCTGAGGTTTGTCAGTACACAAAGAATACTTTTACAGTACACGACTGTTAAAATATTGTTTTATTTTTTTAATTATATGAAGTAGAAAAATTATCCTACAACCTACATCGGAGTAGAGTTAACGGTAACTAGTATCGCTTTAATATTACAAATTGTCACTTAAAACATAAAAACGCAATGTAAACAAGATATAACTACGAATATTCCGAAGACAAAGGCATGCGACAGAATTAATGCAGCGTGAGACATAGAACTACTACCAAACAGAGATGTTACAAAAGCACTATAAAACGTGAAATAATTTGTATGTACGGACCAGTGGGTGAGAGCACCGACTTTGTGCATAACAATCGTCAACTTGTTGATTTATTTATTGATACTTGATCAATTCTCAGAACCAGTTTTAGCTGTATCAAGTTGTTTTTATGTAATTTTAATAGCACATAAAGTAAGCTTCGCCTGATGGAAAGTAGCAACCAGCCTGTATCCAAGAGCATAGCCACGATGGAGCAGGGTTAAGCGCTTGCCCCTCCCTGGCTCTGAAGCTGTAAAGTGTACCTAACCAAACCTAAAAACAATAAATTATCTAATTACTAACTACGATACTTAACATCCGTAAGAAAATTCATACTCGACAATCGACACAAAAGATAATATACAGATAGGTATAGAATGTAACCTTTTTGTATGAAAAATATTATCGGGGTAAGTTCGCGAGTCATAACAGTTAAGTACTCAGGGATGGCAACGTACTGGGAATACTACGGGCGTTATATGATGAGGCATTGTACTGTTCATGCATATAAGCCAAGGGCGTACCAACCATGGGCTGCCATGGGTGGGGCAGCAGTCTTAAATATTATGTAACTGGTAATCTATCTCGTCGTAATTGCACTGTTATATCTCACCTTTTAAAATGAACGATAACCAGAACTTCCTAATAAGTTAATAAATTCTCGTAGACGAGACAGCGATGCGGTATACGATGAAAAGAATCTAGAAATATGACACATTTTTTTATTGTCACTCTATATATATATAGAGTGACATGGATAATAGATAACATACATAGGAGGAAGGAATTAGACGAGTAAATAAAATTCAGTCAGCAAAAATTTTTAGAAATTATCAAATACATAAAAACAATACATGTTTTATTTCATCTAGTGTAAGTACAACACTAGAAAGGTAAGTGAAGGACGAAATTGTAGCTATCAAGTAAATGATTCATTAATATAATATAAACTTTTCATATAATATTAACTAAATAGGTATTTATTTCTAAAAATTATGGCAATATATTATGTGTGTAAAGGATAAATATCTTAACAGTATGTTAAGTATCGCCCTGTTTGCTATGTGAGTTTATTCTATATTATATTTTATAATGCATAAATTAATAAACAAATCTGACTAGAAATTTTTATTAACTTCTTTAAAAATGATTGCTGTACATTTTCTCTTACGTCAAAGTTACGAGTACAGCGGCCACTTTGACCACATTGTTTTAAAAATGAGGTCCCGAATTCATTATTATTCTAGTTGATGATGCGTTACGTATACACAGACTTTTCCAGAAGTTCTTTTAACTATTACAGGACATATCAACATAAAAAATTGCTGTGTATTAGTTATACCAATAAGAAATATTTGAAACCATAGTTTTAAACACGACACTTAACAAGTCATCGCTCTTGCTAATTTTTCATGATAGTAACGACTACGATAATATTTTTTGATAGGTACACCTGACAAAAAAGGCTTGGGACGGTTCGTCTTGGGTTGTCTCACAAGATTTTAATTATAATCATCATCATCATCAGCTCAGCCCTGAAGACGTGACGACGACTGCTGAACAAAGGCCTACCCCAAAGATCTCCATGCTGCGCTGCTTTAATTATAATAATACATTATATTTTTGCATAAATATACCGATATTTCGTTAGCAATTTGGTTTATCAACTAGAATGGCAATCAAGCTGACTCTTTATATATAGAACAAGGTTGCCATTTAGGATTGTATGCTGGTTTTTATTTGTATGAATTTGGCGGAAACTTGGTAAAACATTCTTTTTTTTCATTCAATGAACCTTAAATTAAAAGTGAAGTTGAATATTTTAATCATTTAAATCTACATTGGGGAGTAACCCAATCCTGTTAATTATAGCACGAGCAACAGCGGTAAGTAGAGTCATACCACGGACATTTGTGACTTTGTTTACAGAGATAATATAATTGATAACGTTTTATCATTCACGACACACATTAGACATATTTTGCAAACCCACCTCCGTAAGCAAGGATTCCTTCCTTGATGACGGATTCATTTCCCACATTCACGAAACTTTATCGCGCTTTCTACGCAAAATAATTTTCATTATAAAAATTATCATAAAATTTCGAGTATTATAATCGTAATTCCATATTTTCAGCCAAAATTTACACACACTCTCACCATACAGGACTTTCTTAAATGAAAATAAATACTTCGCCAAGTATGAAAGCGCTTCGCAGTCAGGACACGCGCGTGCGTTGCGTGCCTAGCCGTCCAAAGGATCACGTATAAAAACCAAGCCCATTGAAAAATTAAATCATTGTTACTCCATTAACCGGCCGTGCCGAACGTTTAATTAATCAAATCTAATGACAAAGTGAAAATAACAAAATGAAGTGTCTTTTATTTTTGGCTTCTGTAGCCCTCGTTCGCGGTTATACCCTTAAAGACAATGAAATTCAAACAGCTCGTTTGAGTACAAGTGTCGATCTCTTGGACAGTGTTATGAGTGATTGTTTTGATACTGAATCGCCCGTGTCATGTCTCAAAGTGAAAGTTCTCTCCTTCCTGGATACTAAGCTCGGTGTGACATCGGAGTCTGCTAGAGCTTTCGAGGAGAAAAACATTGACAAAGTTATCTTCGATCGTGTCGGCAGGGTACTAAACACTAACGAATTGAGGTTCCAGTTACCTGAATTTCTGTTTCAAGGAGCTGAAGTGTCATACAGAGCTGATAGGGGTCTCGATGTGGACTTCCCTGAAGCCGAGAATGAAAATGGCGAAGGTTGATTCATATACATACACTTTCGAGCGCAAAATAGTTTTATATTTATATTTCTTTACTTTGGTCTAATATATCGGTATATCTGGTATTTTCAGCTCGTGGCATCTTGAAGAAGAAGCTGCTGCTGCCAGTTCTACTTCTACTGAAGTTGAAGCTGAAGGCTTTGACGCCAATACTACTCGCAATCGTTGGTATTAAGGCCATAAAAGCACTTATACTGAGCAAGCTCGCAATCACTCTGGTCATTGGATTCCTTGTCTATAATCTGATCGCGAAGAAAGGAGGTAATTACTTATATAGAGATAAAATATTTATTTTAGACTAATAAAAATATCTGATTTATTAGGCGAACATGTAAAAATTATAACGTCTTATTATACTCGTATATTTACATATTAGAGATATCAATGTCATTTAATTACCTAATGAATATTCATATTTACAGCTATGCCGATGGTACCTCCGACTGAAGCCCCTGCCCCACCTGCACCGCAATACGGTCTGCCATCATCACAATATGGACCTGCAGCGTCCACGCCGGCTGCACCCCAAGACTCATACAGTCCACAGTGGGAGCCTTCCGCTTCTGGCCCGTATTCCAGAGTATGGGATCCTTCACAACTGGCCTACAGCTCATACTACTCTGGTGATTCAGGCTCGTCAGCGGCTTCCAACCAGTCACCGAGCTACTCCAGCGTAGCGTCTATATCATCATCAGCCCCATCATCGTCATCATCGCCCACCCATTAACAAAAGTCCGACTTACCTCATGTAAATTACACGAAAGCACTCGAATGGTCTTGTACATAAACGAAAGCACGGAATGGAGAAGCTAGAGTTTAGAGCTAGTTTATTTATGTCGATATTTATTTTTATTTATTGAACACAATAAAAAGTTGTTGTCTTAAAGATGTTATTCCTTTATATCCCTTTTGCAATGTAGATAAAGATGGTAAGCGGTAACTGTTGCCTACATAAATTGTTATATCAATACCAAAAAATACAAACTGAATGACATAACAAAGCATACTGTACAATAATGTTTTAGGTATTTAATAGTTATATATTTTATTCATATATAACACATACAATTATTTCACTGTCTTACTAAGCGTCTCTTTTACATGTTATAAATTTCTCGTAACTTTAATACGCTGTATTATCTAACTACAAAAAACATAACTAAGTATTCATGATATCAAATTTACTCGAAACCAACACTTTGTATGTCAATTCGTATAAAATAATTTGGATTACCATAATTACTACATACATAAGTACACTGAAATTAAGGATCAAACAAACCATTTAACAAAAAACTATATAAATCATGTCGCAAGTCATGCTATGAATACTTTTGTATTATACTATATTGCATATTCTTTGTTGAGAGTAAAGTCTAACATCTAAAACAAGAATAATTAATATCAATGCAAAATGATATTTTTTTAAATCACATTTCCATATAAAAATAACACCTATTTATTCTATTTCTTCCATCTTTATAAGTAGGTATTATATTTGCACCCAGATTTTATCTTCAAATAGATTATTAGAACAGTTTTTTAATTATATTGATAAAATATTAAAGGAGCAATTACTATTATTTCATTTGCACTATTGAATGCGTGGTCATTTTGTTACCGTTTAATTGTCGAACAAGTATGTCAGTACGTTTTATTTCAATCATAATAGTATCATAAAAATTCATAGTAGAAAGTTCTATAAATACATATCGAATGAAACGGCCCTCCAGTGCCCATATAAATTACGGGCGCATTTTATGAGTATGTATGTTGGTATAGATCCCTAAACGCTTTCCCTGTGCTCATTGCTTATTTATGTAGCAACTTAATTGTACTGTATGCGTCACCTATAGAAATTGAAGTTATACTTATCTTATATATATGAATCAACGACACACAAACTACTTATAATATAGTAAACATACTATTATTAAGATAGTTCTAATAAATTGGAATAACTCAAATATTTTTGGGTTATTAATTTTAAAATTAGGATTACAGTCGAAAATTAAAAAATATTGTTTTTAAAGTATATTATATACTAACTAAATTATAGCAACCAAATATTATAAGTTATATAACATGACTGTATACATACAACCAAACCGACTCACAGATATTGGTACTCGTATTTAATATAGATACACACTGTAAGTTTACAAAGTTGACATGAAGTAAAAAGTGGATAATACAGCTGTAGTAGGCCTTGTCTATAAAACACAATTATGCCCAACGACCTAATGTTGCATTATAATAAATCTAATTATTTAAATTATATTTATGTATTTAAACTTATGTATGTACCTATATGTTGTGTATGTAATAGCGAATGATATCGTTAATACATACCTACATATGCCCCGCTACACGTAGCACAGTGCACATCTAAATATTTGTATACCTTAATTATAATTTATTTTAATCGCTACATAAATAAAAAACTATGATTGAGTATTATAATTTATTTTCATTAATCTTTATTAAATAACTCCATTAGTACATATCAGATGATTACTTAGAAATTTAGAAGAGTTTAAAAAGTGTTTGCTCTAATTTGTTATACAATATTAGTGGAAAAGTGGAAAAATACGGTTACAATTAGGTGTAGTTAGGTTCTATTATTGTCACAAATGTATAGATTGTATCATTCTGTTCAAATACTATAATTATTAAAAGGTTGAATTTTTTTTTTTTTGGAATCATAACGCGAATTTTCACACTTTGCTGTTTTTAGTCGAAAAACAAAACAAGAATCAAGTTGTACAGGTTTAGACATAAATAACTATGTACATATTTAAAGGCTTCTACAATACCGTCCAAAAATTATAGTCGTCATTTAATTTTTTGTATCTATACGTTTAATAATAAAATTTAGGTATGTTCCAATTACGATTCCCAAAAAATATTAAAGCTGTGAAATATTTCTTATTGTCGTCGTATGTGCTATTTCATTATATATATATATACAGTATAATAATAGGTACTTAATAATTTATAGAACTCTTAAACGATCTATTCTTCTTTTTACTGATATGATATGATATATCGTATAAAAAACTAACAATAACTCAGATTACAGACAAAACTCTGTAGAGAAAGATCACCACTACTCTGTAGGTAAATCTCAATATCGATTTCGATTTAATGTAGTTTGGTAATGTTCTTTTATAATCAAGACTAAACCCAATAAATCGATAACAATGTCAGTTAATTCTTTCATTAGGCATGGAATATAGATTTAATAAATTATATGTGTCATTCAAGAGTATAAAGGAGTACAAAATGGCACAGTCCAATATCCTTCGAGTTTCTAAATTAGACTTGCAGTTTTCTCCTCTCGCTTCAAAACAAAGCTTTTCGGACACAAAATGACAATGGAGACGGCAAGTTTATAAAAAAAAGTCTTGTAATAAGGAATATAGCAGGTATTAATGAGTTCTAAGTTATCGTTACATTTTTGATGAAAGATGTTCGCAACTTTTCTAATTGTTAGCGCGGTTCAGCTTTGAAAATTTTGGAGTACAATATATTATAAATATTACAAACATAAAAATACGGTGTAAATACGCTATTTACAAAGGCACTAAATCTATAAGGGTTGAAGGTAACTTACTTACTACGTTAGAGAAAAAGTGAAATAGTTTGTACTCAGATAATAAAGGCATATTTGGAACATGAAGTTTGGTTCCTAATTCCTACTTAATAGAGATATAGGTAAGTATACATAACCATAGTACATAGGTATACAAATAAAATTATGATCAATGATTATTATAATGTAAATATTAAAAATGTAGATCTTATACGCAATGAACACAAGAATCATGACATTTATCTATCGCAATTCGTAACCCAAATAATATTTGTATACTACATTTTCTTAACTAAAAAATCAAATGATTGTTTGTGTTTAGTTTCTATGTATAATATGTATGTATTTACGAAAAAAAAAAATCTATGTATTTGTATCAGTTGTCTAGATGGCGCTGTGTGAATTGTCCTGAGATTATTATTATTATTATTATTATTGCCCTGGTACTAATTTTAAATTAAATATTATTATTTTATATTAATCAGAAAAATGTCAGAGTACATTTTCCATCAGGAATTTCAAACATGAGCACATTTATATGTAGTAGGTAGTACATGTAGGTATGGTGTAATAAAACATATTTAATATCAGCTCAGTGGGTGCGTTTATTTATTGAGTCGACTCATTAGTCGAAATTTATAAAATAAATCTATTTTTGCATTATAAATATTTATAACTTATGTATAACTATTTATGTTATAAATATTTATTATATTTAATTATTTTCTTCAAATTAAATAAATGTACCCACTTCAGAAACTTTATATCAATATGATAGGAAAATTATAATTTTTAATTGTAAGGGGTAGGTAAAGCTATATTTCACAGCCTTCGACTAAGGAATTTGTGTCGTAAGATGAGTAGCGGTCGTCGATCTGTAGCAAAGTGAATAGATAATTGTAGAGGTGCTTATATTTTGTAATAAATACGAGTAACACAAAGTAAGAAATCAAAGTAGAGTAACAAAGACTACTATAGATATAGTAATAATAATTATTAAATAAATTAATAGAGATAATGTCACTAATTATTACACAATTTCGTAAAAATGTTCATGGTTCAGAATATTAGAAACTACATACATACATTAGAATTATATGTACGTTTGATTATAAAATGTATTTATCAGTACAGAGAATAATTATATAGGTATGTTTAGTATACATATAGTATAATAAATTCCATAATAAGTACCTAATAAGATATAATTATATGCTACGAAAGAATATTCAGTATGTACAGGTAGGCAATGATTTATGGCTTACGATAAAATATTTTTTAAGTCATGTTTTGTTCCACTCTAGAGGGAAAGAAAGTTTAATCAACAATCAAATGGTACTCCCTGAACCTTCAGCATCTATAAAAAGAATTATGAATATTCGTTCAGTGTTAGGAACAAACTCTTTTATATAAACATATATAAATAAACTTTTATTAGCTGTCGTTAAAAAAATCTACACCTATATAATACCTACCTATATTTCATTTCATTGCTTCTGTTCGTAGTGAATAAAGGACGGCATTAAATTTATGTTTTACTTAAGAATGTTATAAATATATAGCTGTCCCTATTCTGTTTTATACCAGCAAGACTTTCGCCAAAAAGAATGAAAATAGACAGGGTAAGGAGATGAACTTTCAGATTTTGTAAACCTAAATTTACATACTATACCAAGTGCGCTGTAGCATGGTGCGGGTCTGAAGCATACTGTAGAGAAAATCTACGACGTGCTTCTAAAAGGTAGTTGCAAAATGGACAAGGAAATATTTGTTTATATGAGATTAAAAGTGTCGGTATTCACGTTGAGGTTAATCCACCTAGCGCGAAAATGATAGCGCCATAAATGGTTGCGCATGGTCATAAGTTATATAGTCATTTCTTGCAACCTATATCGAAGTTAATAAATTAATTTGCTTTGTGTTCAATTTTGTTATCTCTTATGGTTATGGTTACACATAAAATCATAATTAACAAATGCGGTTAGATACACAATTTGTTGAATCACACTGTTAGAACTGATAGATATGTTTGAATGAAGCTGATCCTACCTGTACCTAAACCTACCAATTTGGTATACCTAAGAAGTACAAAATTAGAGATGTAATGATGGATAGCATTAGAGAAGGTACTGAAGCCACTAAAATTAATATTGTACTAAATCCAGGAATTTATAACGATGGTCTCCACAGTCAACAACTATTCGCGATTGTCCATTGCAGACAATTTTAGCACGATTAATCATATTTCACGGGACTTAGTGAGTAGCTCGTGGCTCCTTTATTGATAACAGATCAATATATCAAAGATGAATCAATATAACATTAAATTGTTATAAGTATGCAATAGTACTTTTACAATAGCAGTAAAACTAATAAATTACGATAGTTAGATAAATAGATATTAAACCTTATATTACTGTATTATTCTGTTTACATTAATATATTGTTGTTATATAGCATTTCAAATACTTATTGTCATTCAGATAATACTTCAATACCTAGCCAATTTTACTTTAGTCTTTTTAGTAACTAATTTACGGCAGTAAATGTTAGTAATGCTAACACAATTAATTAAAATTTACTTAATTTGTAATACGTAACTTTTAAGGGTATTGATAAGTACTTAAAATCGAAGAATTAATGACAACCTGGACTGCTCGTATCATTATATCGTACATAAAGTACCTACTCACGTAATCATACTAAGGATTCTATCTATAAAAGAATAAAAATACCAGTATGTTATTACTTTAACATATGGTATTTAAATTCTGTACAAATGGAATCAAACAAAAGAACATATATCAACAAAAAATAACTAACACTAGCCGTATTATTCATAACAATGGAAAACGTCCAATACGCTACTTTAATAATATGCATTACACTTTTTATATATTAAGAAATCTGATCAAAACGGACACAGAATACTTGAAGATCTATCGGACTTTTGACATTTTTATAAATAATATGCTAGAAGGACAAATGTGTAATACAGTATCTTATATATCTAATGTTTGCTCTTATTTGTCTATATTGTAGTCCACTTATTTACAAAGTATTACATAGTAATACATACAAACTACTATTAAATGCAAATAAAACCACCTAAGTACTATGTGACGGTATAAAATCAATGGAAGATGGTTAAGGCACCAGGGTATATATGATATTTTCACTAGTGACGCTTACGTTTAATGAGTATTCATTCATTAGGCAGATCATTTTAAGTTGAACTGTATTTAACCATATTTGGAAGCGCCTCTTCTCGTAGAACAACTGCTGAAGTTGAATAGAAAACATAACAACGTGGTTGCTTGGAGTTATTTTTTTATTTAATGATAGTATCAACAGTCGCAATGTACATGAGCTCATAAACATCGTACATATCTAAAACAGAGCCTTTTTTCATGGCGCCTACAACTATTTTCCGTTGCCCATATTTCCCCTATTGTAAGCACTCACTCATTAAAAGACGTTATAGAATCAAATACTACAAACAATTTGTGATAATTGTTGGTATTCTAGCTCCAGAGATTTTGTTGTACAGCTGCTCAGTCAATAACAATGTTTACGAATTTAGAAACTTGCCAGCAGTTTCGAGACTTCTTATAGTCTATGTAAATTTTTACAGTTGCGCCACCCGATCCTATTTTTATACTATATATTATTTATAATATTGGTGCCCAGCGTGGTACACGGATCATTACTAAAAATATGAATGTATAGGCAAAATAAAAAAAAAACAAAAATTAAAAATATCTTTTTTACTATATAATAAAAACTAACAATCACTATTAGGGACAACATAAAAGCACTGATCGTTCTAATCGTAACTATAAAAGAGTTCAACATACATTTGTTCAAATTTTCAATGCAAAACTCTTTTATACTTAATAGATGAACTTAATTAGAATACACCACCTCTTTAATGGGAATTCGTTTAAGAAGGATACACTAAAACCCGTTAATATTCGACTAAAAGTAAAAACTACAGTCAATACAATGATTATTGTTTCAGTCAAACAAACTTAATTTACTGTTAATCAATTCTATAATTGTAACTTAAAAGTTAATTTAGGATAATTACAAGAAAAGTATAAGAGCGTAAAGCTAGGATGGTTTAGATTCAAAGTATTTATAAATGATAAAATGGCTAGAGTCGATAGGTCGATCCGATCTCTTTCCTTCCATCTGATCAACTGGCTTTTGACGTGCAAACAAAAATTCTATCATTCTTAGTCATTGGATCGCAATTAGCTTCCACAGTAAACAAGCAGGTGTCAAATAGCATAGATAATAAAAAAAAACAAATAACAAAATTATTAACGAATTCCGTCGAAGAACTAAAGAATTTTTACATGAATAGAAATTGGAGTAACTTTTAACTTATAATTTGAGTCACATTCAATAGAATACTATTTTTGACAACTGTGCTCTTATACACACTAAAACTATCATATTATCATAGCCATATTTAATAATCAAACATATTTTTAACTAACACATTTCCTAACCTTTTTGGACTAAATGCACAAGCTACAAAATAAGTTTTATACTCTGCTTCTTGAATATTTGTTTAGTTCCGAATTGGTAGTAAAAAATCTTTAATCGTTGTAAAATGCATAAATGTCCCTTCTGCCTCTTTCTGACGGCACTATGGTGGAGAGGAATATGAATAATTAATACATATACTCAACTTGTATAAGTAACTACGATAGCAATATGAATATACGATTTTTAATTAATATTTCAGGCTTCAATAATAATGTATTAACATCAACATTTCTGGATAAATAAGTCGATTATTTAAATATTTACTATTGTACAAAATGCGACAGTTGTACTAACATACAAACGAACATTAAAACTGTGCGTAACGAAGCTAACATATACAAAGATTAACTTGAGCTTATATTAATTAACTATTTACTTTGTATATTATAGTAGCACTTTGGATTAGTATTCAATATACAATACATAGGATACTGGTCAAAACATCTAGCATATTAGTACTAATGAAAATGTTATTAAATATTATTAGTTTTTCTAGAACAAAGAAAAAAATATAAGCTTTCAAATTAAATTAGAACTTTTCTGAAAATTTTAAATCCCACTACTGTTCGTATTGGACATAGGCATATATCAAACTCATGTGAATGAAGTCTCCCATAGAATTTTCATACACTGAACAGTTTTAAATATACTTTATGTATCATCAAGATTAGAATATAATAGGAAGTGAAAATAACTTCGCAACACAGAAATAAAGAACGTATTTTGTAACTTAATGGATTTCTATTATTTTGTTTAATTCCGCTACAATTAGCATGTGTGAGGATTATAAAATTCCGATCGTTATTGAGTCTACACTCATACTACGACACGTATTTTGCTTCTGAACGATGCATCATCCGGAATTGAAAAGAGTTCGGATATATCTTGGAAGCCTAGTAGTGTTCATTCTTCGGAGACCAATATGTGCGCCATAATTATAGTAGAATTAAACAAAACAATATAAATCAAATAAGTAGTTAAATAGACTTCCGCAAATTAACACCTAATTCGATAAAAAATACATATTTTCTTGTCACAATAAAAATTTGTGAACAATAAAAACGCGCGTAACGACCCTAAAATAATGATTACTTTTAAACATAAACGATAAAAATGCGTCAATCATTACTGAATACAACCAAATATCAAATTTGCAAAACATTAATTACCAAATACAAATAACCAATTTGTATATATTTTACAGCTTCTTTGTACTAGCTACAATATAAATATTTTGCACTTACAAACTTGAACAATGTGTATAACTTTACATATGTCATATGTTTATAAAACACCGAAATATCAATATACATATAATTTCAAATTTATTTATTAGGATTAAATACAAACTACAATTGCAATGTAGTATATGACACAGCCATACAATATGTATAATATTCATTTCGTTAGCAAGCTCCATCAAATACGAACAAATACGAAATGTAAATAAGTGCAGCCGATACATAAGTACCTATTATATTGAACAAAAACATAAAAAGTAGGAAACTATGTATGCAGATGGACTTTAAAATATACCTTCTTAATTTGCAACAAAAGGTAACACCGAGTCTTTTTTTTTTTAAAGTACTCATCTTTTGGAATACTTTAAAATAAATTTGAAATTATAACCATATGTGACAGTGTTATTAATATCATATTTTAAAATATAATCAATAGTTATAGTCTTAGGCATACTGTTCATGGCAAGTATAACCAGCCCTTGAACACTAGCGGTATGTTTGTCTTATATATTACGATATATATATTAGAAGCGTAACCATAATTTATATACTCTAACCAATGTTTGCCTTAGTACTATACCATAGGAATCCGAATATTATGTTTGATGCATATGGACAAAAACGGAAAATAAATAATTTATATGTATGACATTTGAAGTAGAAGTTATAATATTTTATAAATGGCCTATGATGCAATTTAATTTAGGTACCATTGAATTTACTATTTGTTTGCATTATAATTAATGTAATATAATGTATGTAATATATTGCCATTGTTGATATTTTTGTATTTATCTTTTCCTATGGTATAACACAAATATCTAGTCATACATAATGATGTCAATACACCACACATACATCACCATGTAATATAATATCTCTCAATGTCTTTCATACTAATGATAACTATTACAAAAATGATGATATATCAGTCAAACACTAAAATGTAAACTCGACTTTTAACAACAGAAAGTCAAACATTACATTTAAATGACGCGTAATGTTTCGTTATCCATGTTTGATATTTATATTTTTAAAGGCCACTTTGATAAGATTTTTATATTAATCTATCTATTGATTGATCTTAACTGTCAAGTTAAGAAATTATGAATAGTTGTTTTCAACTTTATATTGATAAGTATTCAGTGTATTTTAACTTTCTAAATTACATTATGTGAAATATTACGTCACATCAATGATACATAGAAATGATAACAAAATTAATATAATTTTCTGGAAATACATACATTCCAGACAATTATGTCGTACAAAGAATCAATATTTACAGTATATGTAAATATTGATTATTTATTATTTATAATTTCTTCGTAAACAATAAAATATATCTACGCGTCATTTAAAATGTTATAAATATACATTGCACCTAGTAAACACCTATATGTCACACTGTCACTGCACAGCACTTCACTGTCAGGGTCGCCTCGTGAGAAAGTTCCAGAAGGCACCGGCGTGGTCAACCTTCCGCTATATGGCGTCCCAAGGCATGGACACAATTATGGGGCACAACCGAGTAAAAAGCAGACCGCAAAGTATGCCAGTAACGAGCGTCGCTGCACCTAACATGCCGGCCGTGGCTGCGTGTTCGGGCGCCACATTACTGAAATAATTAAATGTAAAATGAGCAATTGCTTAAATTAACGGACGAATAAAATGACGTTTCTACATATAAGAAATCTAATTTAGTAAAATCTGTATAAAAAAAATCTACAAAAAATCTATTCAAAATTTGAATAGTTTTGGTCCCAAACATAAAAAACAAATAGTATTTATTCAAAGTATTAGAATTTCCAGTCACCTGAAAATTATGTAAGTACCTAAGGGCAATCTTAAAATCCATATGAGATTCGTATACTGTAACATTTATCATAAATGCCAATAAGAACTAAATGGCTACTATGGGGTAATAGTCATTAACACTTAATCTTAATTTGTAATGTGTGTTTACGTCACCGAAAAACCAAGAAGAAATATTAAATTAACAACAAGTTGGGATAGTAAATTCGATTAAAATTTACATGTTTAAATTTTGGGTAAAATTGAGTAGCCCTAAGTTCGTTCATTGTGCCAATTATTATTCGATCGAAATGACAACACTTAGCCCTTAGACTGAACTCGTATTCGTCAGGCAGAAGTTAGCCGCTCGATAAGTCTTCCTGGGGATTGTTGTTGTTCGTTGTTTAAAGGCATAAAGCTCTCTGCACTTGCCTTTCCGTCCAGCGAGCTTTAAAAGCCAAGTAAGACCAACAATATTATAATAGATCAGGGAAGAAAGGCAATAATTAACATATCAGTATAGGTACTGTTCGAACGTTAACATTATCCAATACCACCATCGGCAGCCGTCAAGCCGTGCCGACTTCAAGTCGGCACGGCCTTGCATCAATGACAACATCGCACGCGTACCTATTTACATTGTGTCTAAATTTTCAAGTATTGTAATTTCAATTATTCAATATAACCGTAGACCGTAATACAATCCGATATTTTATGTTTCATTAGTAAAGGGCTAACTAAGTACACTCACCCGCTAACATACATCATGCCGAGGGAGCTGCCATGACCAGAGCTCCAGCCCATGAGGGCAGATCCGACCCAATAGACCCAGTCGTTGGTTACCAGCACAGGTATGGTCCGGGCGTCGGCCTTATAGTTACACACCAGGAAGAATGGTATGAACAATATTCGCAGGGTCGTGAACAACGCCAGCCAGCGGCGTGTAGGCTGAAAGAAATTCATTATAAATTCAACTATTTTTCATAATTTTGTATAAAAAAATAAACACCATAATTTTTTTACCAAAGTGATTCTTAATTCGCAATTAAAAGATGAGTAGAATTTAATATATTTGATTCAGATTTTTTCCTCAGTAGTTACAATTTCTTAAATGTAATGTTAATAGAATCAAAAACATAAATATAGCAAATGGATATAATAATTAATATATTACAATAGTGACATCGTTCCCGAAACCCGCCGCCCACATCCCGGCGCATGTTTATTTCTGTATATGAAGAAATAATACGACGAAAGTTTAAATTAATTTAGGCTATCAATAAATCATTTTACAGTTAAAATAAAAATAACGGATCATTGACCACCGAATACATCTAAAACAAACATACGTCCTGCGACATCATATCAGGCTGTGTAGACATAGTAGATAAAATATCTATGTATCAGTCCAATCAATATCTAATATCGAACGAACGGCACGCAACTGTGTACTTATTGAATATCGCTGATTCGCTGTCGCTGTGATATCTATACGTGACACAAAAACGAAATAATAAAATGCACGCGATACTATGATATCGTTATCGCGTCGAGTACGTACGTGTATTAAATAATATCAGATTCGAAATAGCCATAAGTGTAATACATCAAATAATTTGAAACTAAGAGAAAAAAAAAGTTGGTACTCATTTGGCATTGTAGCAATTTTAATGTTCTTTGTATTGTTTAAACACTTGTCTAGTGCTGAAGACAATAAAGTGTGTACGGATTGAATAAAGTAAGTGAAACGATTTAAAATTCAAAGGTATATCTGTAAAATATTTAATCTGATTCATACATTGATTTATTATTTAATCTAAAATTGATAATAGTTTTTTTTTACTTTTAGGTTCGCGTATTGTGCGATATATCTTGCTGAGATGACAGCAATTTCACTTTCTTCGAGTTTCAAAATATCCAAAAGGAATTTTACAATGCTATTTTAGGTTTTTATGGTTTTACATTGATACATACATTTATTTTACACGTAATTTAGAAACACAACTGATATGTCCCGTTCAAATATAAGTATCATATGGGATTATTTCGATAAATATGATATTATTGATAAAAAGGCGAAATGTCGAACATGTTGCGACATTTACAGCTACAAAGGTTCCACGGGAAACTTAAAAGCTCATTTAAAAAAAAAGCACTTCGATGCTTTTACTAAGATAAGGATGGCACAACGAGAAACTGTGAATATTAAGCCAAAGAAAGAGCAACAATTAACGAGTTCGGAAGCAGTAAACATTTCTGCCGGTGTAACATCTGCGGTCTCAGGGCAAGCGTTGTCCGTGAATAGAAGTACTGACAAAAAACTATCAAACGATATAAAAAGAAAAATTGATCGAGATTTATTGGATCTATTTATTGATGGTTACCAACCGTTCTCATTGGTGGAAAAAAGATCGTTCAAGAAGTTTGCACAATGGATTCCTGGATATCAACTACCAAGTAGAGAAACAATTACTACTGTCATGTTACCGGCATTATACGAACAAACCAAAACTGATTTAAAAATGATATTGGGTCCGGACAGTAACCACTCTGTATGCCTTACGGTGTATTTATGGACGTCAACATTAAACGAAACATATGTAACAGTCACGGGTCATTACATAACCGATGATTTAGAACTGAAAACCTTTGTATTGGATTGTCGAAGTTTTCAAGAGTACTCAACTGAAAATATTCAAGATATGTTGATTAATGTTGTGGCCGAATGGGGACTTACAAATAAAATAAACTTCGCAGTATCCAATGACACTGCCAACATACCAAAAGTAATACAGAATATCGGATGGAAACAATTTGAGTGTTACGGTCACGCCCTCAATTTTATAGTTCAGGATGCACTAACTACGACGTCAGTTCAAATAATTTTAGATAATGTTAGAAAAGTTATTCACCTTTTTAATACAAGTGGCACAGCATTGGAAGTATTTTTAACCACACAAACAGAAGAGAAATCTGATTGTACACGTAAACATTTAGTACAGGAAGTCTCTACACATTGGATCTCCACCTACCACATGGTTCAACGATTTGTAGAATTAGAGCTATACATAAAAGCTACAATTAAGATTTTGAAAAATGATTTTCCTATAATTACAGATGAAGAATGGAAAGCACTTTCCGACCTATTAAAAGTGTTAGCACCATTTGAGCAAGCCACAGACATTATTACTGGTGAAAACTATATAACTGGAAGTCAAGTCATAGTAATCACCCATTGCCTTATGACGACATGTGACAAACTTATATCAGAACCATTTGATGAAATTACGAAAACTGTCATCTCTTGTCTAATAACAGGGTTGCGAGCAAGATTCGGTCTAGTAGAAAAGAATAGAACATTTAGCACATGCACATTCTTAGATCCGAGATATAAATTGTCGGTATTCAGTGAGCCGGATGAGGCTACAAATACAAGAAACTACATCCAAGAATTGTTAACTAGGCTAATTGACGAAGAAAAAACACAAGAGCAATCGTCTTCGACTGTTAATAACAGTACCAATGTCGATGGATTTCGAGCCATACTTAATAAAATAGTAGGGCAAAAGTCACTCGCCGTTGGGACTCCACTGTCGAACGCCATAAAAGAGATTGACACATATATAAATGACGACCCGCTGCCAATTTTCCAAGAAGACAAATTGAGCTGTCCGCTGGAGTGGTGGCGTGATCATAAATACAAATACCCACATCTTTCTAAACTGGTACAAAGTTATGGAAACATTATGGCCTCATCTGTTCGATGTGAACAAATATTTAGTAAAACGGGCCATAGAAACGAACACCACATGGAACTAACTTCGCAAAAAGTAACACAACTGACTTTCCTGAATGTTAATTTGGATCAAAGTAGATTTTAGATCCCTAATAATGAATGACTAACAAAACATAACATAGTTATCATAAAACTATAAATCGTTTGTTATTGTCGTAAAAATAAATCATATTAATTAATGTGTATTTCTTTATTAACTATGCAGTTAGTCCTAAGCGCAAATAACGTTCAGCAATTAACATTGAATTAATTTAATCATGTTAAAAATAATTTCATTAATAAATTGGATCTTAACACGAACAATGTTATGGTAAATAAAGGTATCTCAGTACATATAGTTATCTTAGTAAATACTTACAAACTGCCATAAGCTAGCGGTAATATTCCCAACCATCGCCATGAAGTTGAATGTCAAGAAACAAGTAATCATAGTAAACTTTTCACCCAGGAAGTTAGTTGTGAGAGGCTTGATGTCTGAAATATAAAAAAAGCCCTAAGTTTTCATACATAATATTACATCTTCACTATTCGTAGTCTTATAATATACGTTATAAAAAATTATAGCTGTTGTACAATTGCATAACGCTGATTATAAATATTTGTAATTAAAATACTTCTTTCTTATTTAACAGAAAAATTCCATTGTCTTATTGATTCCCAGATTCCCAGATTTATAAATATTGGCCCATAATAATACTAAAAATATTATAATAAAACTTATTGACCCATTTAAAGCTCAGAAAAATAAAATGAATTAAGATAACTAAAACAGTACCTATGAACGTGATATTATCCATCACACATTGCCATTCTTGAACACTAAGGTGTTAGTGTTATGCCTGCATACCCTGCAATTTAATTGCGACATCTCACACTTGCTAGGGGGCAGAAATAAATGTGAAATAGATACCTATTATAACTGCTAACTACAAAGTCTACCTGGGTATGAATTTGTTGTATGTATGATTAATTAGTTTGTCAATACATAAACTAACCAGAGTGCACTGAGGGAAAGATGGCGAGCGTGACGAAGAAAACAATGAAGATGTTGTATATCTGCACCCAGGCTTGCCGTACAATGGCGCCATAGGGCTGTTTGGGCGTGGAGTCTGGCCGCATATCGCTGTTGGTGGCAGCCAACGCCGGGTTTACGCGCATGGTACGCTGCTGGAGCGTGTCGTGGTAGCGATAGAACCTCTGCATAACAAATTTTAATATATTAATAGAATACAAGTATTTTTATGTACATAAATGACAGACAAGCTGATGACCCACCTTTATAACCGTCGCCTATATACATGAACAGCACTACACATATCGCGTTATAATATGACTCGATAACACTCATGCATTGCCTCTCCAGAGTGTTTAAGATGTCATGCTTCTTATCCTGTAATTTCATTCAATTTCTGCCTAATCTGTACACTACCAAAACAGCACACAGAGCAACACTGGAATACCATGAATATCACCCATGTCACGAATTCATTTGTTTTTGAGAAAAACGTTTTGCTATTATTTTCTATATACTACTGTTGTCACTGTCCATCTGATATTATGTTTGCCATGTCAGTTACATAATAAGAATGTATACATGCATCTTGTTAATTTAGCTCTAAGTTCTCAACCGTCTTTTGGCCACCGCCTACTATGATATTATTTCTAGAGACCATACTTTTTTGTAACTTCGCCTTTTGTTTTAGATTATCTTTGTTTTCCTATCTTCACAACCACTGTCTCATCTCAACACCCCCTAAACATCTCTGGGTAGTCTACACCCTTTTGAAAGTTCCAAACAACCAAGTAAGCCTAGTCACCCACATTAAGAACTTATGTTCTAAACAGAATCTTAGAAATGAACTTTATATCACTCACATTAAGAGGCAACGCGAAGTACGTGTCGAAGCAGATGAGCAACACGAACATGCCCGCTATAAAGTAGTATATGGCAGCAGTACGCTTGCTCTCGAATAAACCGGAACTCCAACTGAGGAAGACCACCAGCGTCCCGCATATATTGGAGCCCAACACCACAGCACCGGTGTATTTAGGCGGCAGACGGGCAGCAACGCCGTATACAGAGTTTTGGAAGATTGCGTTGAAAGCTGAAATGTAGAAATCAAAAGTTATAACTATAGTAGTATTTTGTTTACTACCACTACCAGTACTACTAGTATAAAATGGTACTATTTTTTTTTGTCTAGTTGGAACTAAATATATCTGTTGAGTACTATGCAATGAATAATCAGCATAACCAAGATTACGATTGCAACATTTATTCATGTTGTAATGATTAAGGTTGACCAAGTACTATAACTAACAATCAACAACAGTCAATTATTTCTACTGCATTAGAAATAAACTCACCATTAAGCAGGAGAACAGATAACATGGTAAGCCAGAAGAATACCTCAGGCCACTCTTTACTGTCGAGCATAGCCAGGATAATTGTGACCACGAATATTGCCACTTCAATGCACAGTGACCAAACGATCCGTGTTGTTAGATTCCCTCTGAAAATAAATATATATTTTAATGTTTAGAGAGTATCCGTAACAAGAAACTTAATTATCAAAACTATATATTACTGAAAATGACAATTTATTTTCCTTCAGAAATAAATTGGCTTCTCTTCAAGTTAATAAAACAAAATTTTGACAACAATCCCCAAGGAATATAATTTTCTTAGTATATATATTGTATTGTTTCCATTGCCAATTAAAAAAAAATTCATACTATGGCATCATACTTAAATGCACATTACTTACACAGCGAAAATATTTATATTTCATCCCGTTTTGAATACAGGAAAAGAAAGACAGAAAAAACTATGTAATGTCTGATAAATGATAAAATTCCAATAACAAATAGACTTACCCAAACTGAACAAAAATATTCATCCAATTGAACACAACGTTGGGTATTTGACTCGCCCAACCCACGTATGCCAAATAATGCTCCGCATAATTCTTAGCGTCGACCAGCTTATAATCAACAAAGTAATCCTTGGCAGTAATAAACATGTTCCAGGCTGTTAGCGTACCAAGACCGTGTATTATCAGCGTCAAATATATTAAATTCCATCTATCTTTTGGAGGCGCCAAGTCCATGGCAATACCTGAAAACAAGGGGGAATGTATGATTAGTAATGTGAACTAATTACTCCATCACTAGCAATGTAAGTCAGGTTGACCTACACGCGGTTTTCCCTGGAAACTATCGTGATAGTTTCCTGGAATATTTGTCACAAGCGATCAACTGAGCTGACCTCATGCTTATCTAATCACCCTCCACTGGTGCCCCGCCAACGTAAACCGTTAGCGCAGGCGGCTGCATTATTCCAATTACCTATAAAAATACTTGAAAAGTGTAATAATAATAATCTTAAGCCATATCACAAAGTGCCATCTAGACACAATATAATCACACTTTCTTCTATAGATGCATTTTTATGTTATTGGAATAAAAATCTGATGTCCTACCTGCTGGTATGTGGTCGTCGCTTTTATAAATAAACAATAGAACACGTCATCATGTAACGCCCTTAATACCTCTCATATCTTACATCGCCATACTAGTGGTACGTTGTAGTCCTCTGGAATGGCAACGTATGAGATGACCTGCCTCACTACCCCGTAATTTTACTACCTTATCACAGTATTAAACCGTAACAGAGCTACAAAACAAACGGTATAACAGCTAAAGTAGGTAAGACAAAACTTTGACCGAGTACATGTTCACGCAGACAACTTTACAACATCTACCTCAGGAAAAAAAAACAATATAATTGATAAAAAAAAAATTAGAAGTGCATAATCTGGATTGAAAATCCCCATACCCATACCCGCAGCTATATGTCACAACACAAATGTTTTACATTGTACAGTACAGTAATAAAAATCAATAGCAGCCTTTAATAATGTTGAATGAAAATGTAGGTAACATATGGTATAACAATAAAAACAATAAAACGTAGTAGGTAATTATTAAACAATAACTATACTTAACTGACCAATCTATTAATAATAATTTAGGTATATAATGTATTTACATTTTCCTGTAGATATTGTATTAAATATTAGATGTCGTATTATAATAGAAACAAAATAATTATTTTAAATTTCGATTCAATAATAATTTTATATTATACTAGCTGACCCGCCAAAGATTGTTTTACCATATAAATTAATTTCCCTATTAAAAAATAGGGGTTGGAAATGTGAAAGGCATAGGATTTTTTTTAATGGCCCTCATAAAATAAAATGAAAAAAAACAAAGTTGTGGTGGCCCACCCTTATCACTTAGGGATATACAAAATAGATAACAGACCTAGCAAATATACATATAAATAATTTTATCCAAATATTTTACTGTTTCAAAGAAGTATGGCAACTAACACACGAGAAATATACCTTCCTTTGGATATTACGATAAGAAAATAATAAATATGTATTAATGAATATTCTCAATTAACAACATACTGGAATGTATTTGACACCTTTACCCCGGTGACCATTTATTTTTCCTATAGTTTCGGAAAGCCTATCTTTTTTTTTATGAATCCCCGTGTCATTTCAAATATTACTATAGACACATTTTTATCAGTTACTAGCCTAACAGTTAACATTATTTATCACGTCATCATTATACTGATAGACTTCTGATGATCCGATAAAAATAATAATAGCTGATAAATATAATTAAAAAAGTTCAATAACGATTATTTAAATAATTAATAGTTTTTTAGATAACGTTATAAGTATAATATGGGTCGACAAGTAACGTAATCTCATAGATATTCAGTTTTTTGCAAATTATGTACAACCGTGAAAAAAGATAACGTTTTATTAAATTCGAGTTATATAAAGAAACAATATCATTTTATAGTGATTCAAATATTTATTTGTAATAGATATTTCAAAACCATATTCTGGTTTTCATAATAATCTAAAATTCTATTCATGTTTATGTTTCACAATGTATTAATTTATGCGAATGAAAACCAAATTGATGGAAAACTCAATAAATATTTGCATACAATTATTTTTAGACGTCGCGTCTGTAGGTCAAAAATGTCGCAATACTTAGGTGCACACGAATTTATTGACAAAACCCGCATGTGTTTTAGTAAAGCGTTCATTTACCCACTGTGAATATATGTGCCTACGGTTATAGAAACTGTGACACTGCGTTGGAAAGTGGGAAGTGGTTTTAATATTTAAAGCGTCATACGCCTACACGTTTTAGTTAACGCAACATCGATATTAAACAAACAGCCTTACAAGTGTCAGACGCTCATTTTAAGAACACAAAATGTGCCGTCGCGCCGGGATTTGAACCTGCGACTGTATATCGAATGTCTGATTAATCGACCCCTAGACCAGGAGAGTCAATAGCCATAAGAACGAAAATATCCATGACTATTCGTTCGATAAAATATGTTTTTTTTTTTTAAACAATTGAATACAACCTGTTTGTGATCTTAAAATAAAATTATATCATAGTTTCTGTAAAATATACAATTATACGTTTGTGGCAATTATACAATTTTTCGTCTCCTGACAAAATTATCTACTATTTTTAAGTGAGTAACTGAGATACAGTTTTGATTCAAATGCAGGAAATGTGACGGTCAATTTTACAGAGTGCATATTGGGTGTTTAATTGCGTATGTTTGTTTTTATTGTAATTTCATTGCACATTTAGAATTAAAATTACATTTGAATATTTAAGAAACAACAGTGGACATTTGAAAATGACCGAATGTATGAAGGGGCAAATAGATATTTTGCCAAAAAAATGTGTTTTCATGATTACCATTTTTTAAGTATTTAAATGTGATCATCATGAAGTAAAAGTTCGTACATATTCATCTGGAATATATATGAACGTTTATTACTTTGTTATGTTTATTTTATCTGCTACGTCTTTGTTAAAGATAATGACGGCACACTAAGCGCGCCAAACAAACGCGATTGAAACTATTTATAATAATAATATATTTTAAAAGTTATACAAAGTATTTATTATTTAATTTAAATTTATGTTATACAGTAATGGATTAAATGCCACTATAGATTAAAAAAAAACATATATATGCATTATTAACTTGTCGGTATGATGTTAAACAGTTAATTAACTTAGTAACACTATATAAAGTATTTTAAGTACTATTGATCTCTGTAAACATTATGTCATGACCTAATAAGCACTGTTATTCTATTATCAGTTCGTAGATAGTGGAGCTGTCTGTTTTTGAACAAAGTTATAAAACAATATAATTCAATATATACCATGTTTAAAATAAAGACATTTGTACTTTGTACATTCGGAATATAATATACAATAAATAAGAGATATATAATAAGATTATCGTTATAATTCATTATTTTTATTTAATTAAAATTTCTTATAAGTATTTACTAACGTATAAAACTTAATGCATGACTGAAGTTTTAAATGAGAAAAGAGAGAGAGAGGAAGATGATAACAGCCAATATAGTATGAACTGAAAGAGGATCAAAGTAATTGAAAAATATAATTAGCAAATATTTATTAATTTGATGATTTTTAATTTAGTTTTTCGTACAACACATTCAGAAGTTACAAATACGTATAAATAAATTAATGTTACTAAGTTGACTCTAGCTTTATCGTCATCTATCAAACGTATCTCAACCCGTCTATATTGTTCGTGCTATATTTTAGTTTAAAAAAATCAAAAAGTCAGTTTCATATTATGATCACATATATTCACATAGTATAAAACAAAGACTCTTGGTGTCTATATGCTTAGATCTTTTAAACTACGTAATGCAATATTACGTAGTTTAAAAGAGAGGAATATTTAATGTATAATGCATGTATATGTATGTACGAAGCCGAGACAAGTAATTGAATTGTTTTATATGGATTATATTATACGTGGATTATTTTGAACAGGATTCATTCCACGATTCCATAGAAAATAAGTGTGATATAATCGGGGTAGGTATATTTCGAGAATAGGTTGCTTACGCCAGATTACCTTTCAAGTTGAGCGTGTCATTCGGCAGGTTGGTGCCCTCCCACGCCGGGGTCAACTTCACGGGCTCATTGCGGAGGAATGGCGCCTTCTCGCCCTCCAAGTCCCACCCTGTTGATAAAAAATAACATTTAAATTACAGATTTATTTAAATAAACAAATAAACTTAAATAAAATAAATAAATAAACTAAACTGGTCGTCCAATGGTCGAAATCAAACATTATAATAATTTAAATTATAAGTTTGAACATTATTGAGATTATATTGTCAAGTTTTTTATTGATAAATGATTTATTGCATAATTAAAATATAAATATTACAATTCTAAACTCCTCTATATAAACTATAAGTGTGCGAAATTTCATACACCCCCTTCAAAGTTTTTCCTTCACGTATTAATTATATTTTGGAAATCGGAATTATACTATAGATTTCGAAATCTTATTTCTTTGCGTGGTTAGTGGATTTGGTTGTGGGTAAATAACACTGTCCTTACACGGCAAATAGTTTAGTATGTACCTACACACATCTGGTTGTCATGTACCTATGATTAGTTGTAAAGATTATACTAAGTCAAAACCAGGTACAATACTCATAAAATTAAACATTTGCACCAAGAAAGAAAGTGGTAATCTGAACATACATTTTGAACGTTTCGTACGAAACTGATTAAGCGACCGCGCAATTTGTATAAAGGTCTTTTTTAATTTGCTTCTACTTAAAGAGATTGATTTAGGTTCATTATCATTATCACTGGCTTTAAACTTGTTCCACTCTTTAGATCTCGTCATCTGCCTTATCCCATCCATTTGCCGTCTGCGTAATATATTTTTCTCTTCCATTCATCCCTGTTACACCCTCTACAACTAATTCTGTATTAATTGTAATAAAACTACGCAGTTTATCACTAATTATATCTTAGCCATTATTTATACTTTGTCTTTGTTTATACATATATGTATATAGTATAAACAAAGATGAAATACAGATGACCAATATTTAAGGCTATATAAGTAATATTTGTCCTGGATAAATATTTTAACAGTTGCCTTTACTAGTACAAACAGACATTCGTCTAATAAACTTACTGCTTTTGCTGTTAGTGACGGGTTTCGTTTTCTTTGAATTACTATTTAGTTCAATTTTTGTCAGTCATACACAGAGATAACATGACAGATTATTTTAGTGTTGTAGGAATGTCGAAGCCATAAAAATATGATATTATAGGATATGAAAAAACTTTGTACATATTCTATAGTATCATAGTTTTTACAATCTGCCTCTAGTAAATAATTTACGACAAATCGGTAAAATTAAATTATTATTTGATTCGATTTGTCGTAATATATTTGTCTAAACAATATATAAATTAACTATTATTTGTCAATCTTGCTATTTGACAGTTTGTATTTACGCAACATCTTAAAATATAATGCAGAACAAAATTTATTTAAAAGAGCAACACACAAGTTTTTTTGTTAAAGTCGGCTTTTTAATGAGTGGTAGATTAAAAAATAATAACTATTCAAAAACGCTTAGGCATCAAGATTGTTTCTATTTCTAATACTTTGTTACCTGACCACACAAAATAAACTAGTACCTAAATATTGTATTTATACAATATCAATAGGTATAACATGTACGTAATACAACTTCAAACAAAAATAATTGGGATTTGTGAAATTGCCAGTCTCGTAGTTACCTTTTGAAGTCACGAATAAAAGAATACCAAGAAAGTTTCTTAGAAGTTACCAAAGCGAAATTTTTACATTTACTAGGCCACGAAGTGGGTTCTTCGACACAAGAGCACTTGTAATATATTTTTTTAGCCAATATCTCGCTAGGGCTACACTACACAGTACACCGTGGCAAACACAATTTCTAACAACAATGGAAATGTTATCAACTTTTGCCATAAACTTCTTATTTTTATTGCTTTATAAATTGGCACAATCGTGTACTAATTACTTTTCTAAATATTTTCAAGAGATATTCAACCAGGAGAAGGCACACCTTTTACCTTTATTTTTTATGTGTGATATGCAATATGTTTGATTATTATTTTCTTTTCCTTAAAATAATGTATCAGTCTGTTTTTTAGTTTAATAAATTGCAAGAAGTTATTTTTTTTATATGTTTAGTAAATATCTTCTATTACTAAACGCACTCAATATTTCGGCGATTCCCCAAGAAATCTATACTACAATGTCTTAATTTTGTCAATGGCGATATGTCTTCTTACATCGAGTCTAGTATTACATTTACTTAATGTGAAACAAATGAGTATATCATTATTTTACTAATTGCCACAGTCGAGTACATAAATATACTATCTAATTAGGCTACTCGCTGTAATTATGAAATGTGTTTTGAATATTTTGTAAGTCAAATACAGCACCCCTTCATAATGTTGAGTGGGTCCTCAATATGACAGGATATCAGCCCATTTTAATACGGCGAATACAATCAATGGACAATACAAATACTTTACGAACATGAAGCACTTAAAGATATTTGTCGAACTATCAAATCAACAGATTATGGAGATGAATAAACGTCAGATTATTATAGGCTATAAAATAATGTTGTTTAAATAATATAGTTTTATAGAAATTTTGACTGTGGGGTACAGTCGAAAAATATAAAAACTAAAATACCAACTACGAAACCAATAGATAGAATACTACTTATTCAATATACGAGATTAACTTTTGGGAAAATTCCAAGTAAAATACAAAGCATCAAAACTTTATCTAAGTATCAATAATATGTTATTTTATTTAAATTTTACATATTACATTCTACATGTCCTTTTAGATTCAAACAACAACTACTAAAGTAACAGTAAATCACTAGGTATCATATATAGTACCCATACTACCGTACTAATATTATAAACAAGAAAATGTTTTTGTCTGTTTATTATCTTTGTATGAGTAAATTTTGAGGTTGAACACTAACGAATTTATTGAAAGATATTGTACAACGAGGATGTACGTAAGCGCGTCTTTCAACTTCTATGTACCAAATAATTGTTACAAATAAATATGATTATAAAAGTCACAAGTCCCAGGTCAAGGCGAGTTTGAACTAATAAATATAAGAATCACTAACAATGTGTACTCGATGTTCCATTAAATGAAACCCAATAATAAAACGTGCAATATTGAAAAACCTAAGAAACAAATTAATGACGACCTCGGTGGTTGAATGGTGAGGTTCTTCCGGTTCAGTATTCCTCTTTACTTTAAAATGTGGCCAAGAATTAAATTTTCATTTGGACGTTGTTACGAATCTTTCCATAGTCGATTTCATTCATCAAGAAGTAGAAATAGTCTAAAATTAATGACAACTATTTACTGGATTTTTTATGACATTATCGAATTGTATATTTGACTTTTTTTTTTACTTTAATTCACAAACCGTTAAGACCGTTTTAAGGAATGCCTTTTAATACCAATTTCGCTTTGAAGATAGAGTTTGAATGTGAATTTGAAGCTTGTCTTAAAATAAGCATAGCTTTTAAGCCAAAATTATATATTTGAGTTGTGCCTTTAGTTCTTCGCTTTGGTTCCTTACAAAACGTGTCCTGCTTTACAGTGCGGTATATTTCGTGGGATTGTGTGGAACTATACAAACTGCTTATACAAACATAGACTAGTTACATTAAAGTAGGTGCAAATGAGGCCTACATTTAGGACACATTAGACTTCTACCATTTCTAAAATGAAGGAAGGACGAAGTGGAGACGACGACAGAGGTATAATTAAATACCACTACCCGAATTAGCAACAAGCGTGGCGTTATGTATATACAATTGACGTATGTTGTATCTGATAGTCACTATATACTTGATCTCAAGAACAATAAGAATCAGCAACTAAAACGAGTATCGATTTGTATAAATAAAAACAATACAGTAGAAACCGGATATAATAAAATTGAAGAGTCGTTATAAGTAGTATATATAATTATTATATTGATTCAGTCGGAATCCTGCCATTTAGGCGTAATAACCGGTACATCTTTATAACCAAAGTTATTATCGGTTTCTACTGTACTTGCAAACGAACTTCGGCTGCCTAGATAGACGCACATACACTAAATATAATAATATAACATACACACAAAAATGTTAATACTCACATGTCTCTGCTTTCGACTGTATACTTCTAAACGTACCGTAATTATATTTAATTACTATTCTATCTTTATTAATTCCCATTTTCATTCAAATTACAATTAGTTCTTTAAATTTAAACAAATAGAATTTACACTGTATGTCCGTATGACAATGACATTGCTCCACCCTGTAATACGATATCTACATGGTCCTGCGTTAACCACGAGGTTCATGCATTAACACCCAAACAAATATACAGGCTGTTAATTTGGTATCTATATTTTAAAATTTGTTTCACAAAAGTATTTTCATATTATTACTTCTTTGTTTATTCTTTGTTAACGTAATTTGACAAAAGAATATAAAGTTTAATAAAATATATTATTACAAATTGTCTGAATAGTATGGAATTAAAGAGCGAATAAGCCCCTCCAATTAAAAAAAATAATCATGAATATAAACGAAATTAGCGAAAATACCACTGCAGATGCATGACAAATACCCGAATACATCATTTCACAGGATTGAAAACTTATAAATTAAGATATTGGCTTACAGTTTACACCTTACATCCCCGAAAGATACTAAAGAATCCCATCTAATAATTATGATAAGAATTTAAAAAAAAATTGAAGATTGATAATTTTAAACACCATTTGTATAAAAGTAATAAACAAATGGCTGCATTTGTTTTATGTATTTAGCTGTGTTACATTCAAATTTATAATCACATATAGTCTATTGTTTATCACTATGTATAGATAATGTATTATAAAAAAAAACTTTAACCTTTAAATAAAACGAGTAAACATTTTTTTCAATAGATGCAGTGGCTGCAGAGGTTTCTATTCAAATAACGTGATGAATAGGTACGTACATATTAAAGGATAAAATAATTAATAATAAAGTAACAAAAAATATAAGATATTGTAGATGTAATTAGAAAAGAACGAATAGTGATATTACCGAATATAGTGAATATTCTGC